ACTATGTAGTATCTAAGAAAATATTTTAAAAGATTTAAATTATATTCTATTATTAAGGATATTGTAATACATTTAGATAATAATGATAGTAAAAACAGAGCAACGGTTTTTTGAATTCGCTGGAAGTAGGCGGGTTGTGGCCTGAGCAATTGAGCCAAAATCAGAAAATCTGTCAGTTGTGTCATAATTTTATCAACAAAATATTGGAAAAAGTACCGCTGGCCATGTGAATTACCAGCTAGGATTGAATTATCCTTTTCTCATATTAATTAATTGATTACTAAACAAAACCAAACAGCAAACATACGATCAATGCTGGTCCGAATGATATATATTTTAGTACAATAATAGTATTATTGCCTTCCTTCTAGAACAAAATAGATTCAATTAATCGAAATTATTTTCCTACCATTCAAAAGTCCTTAGCCTCTTTATGCATGGAGCTGTGGACCACTTCTAATAAAGTGATTATATTTCCAAGCAAAAAAAGGTGATTCTGTTTTTTTATTAAGACTCTAAAATTTAAAAATTCTCATTTTATTTATTAAATTTTAAATTAATCCTATTCACTGTTCAGTCCTTTTTGTTATTTTTTTTTAGAAAAACATGAGAAAAAAATAGATAATGCAATCAGGTAGTCTTTCTATTATATTTTCTGTTAAAAATAAATGAAAAAAAAAACACATTACCACACTTAATTCTATTTTTTTCATATGATTTTAATAAAAATTCTAATAAAATAGGTTAAATGAGAGTAAATCAAACTTAAAAGGACAAGTGAGTTTTTAAATTAGTTCGAGAATAAACTGATAATCACAAGTGATATATGTAAAAGGTTGCTTAGATGTTTTGGTTGGCCATTTATTTTCTAGAATGGCCATTCTCTCACCAATTGGAGTAATAAGTATTCTGGACTGAACTATAAATAGAGTAGTACTGTTATTTCGCAAAACAAAAAGGAAAGTAAATTGTCAAACTATTATTCAGTGAAATCTTGACTAAATTATACCAAATTGAAATTTCGATCTTTTTTTTTTTAAATCGAAACATTCCTCCATTTGGACAATTAACCAAACATATACGAGAACCACCAGCGACTGATTATTCTTTTTTACTATTGTAGATTCCATTTCTCGAATGATCAAATTCCAGTAACATTAGTTGATCATCATCAATTAATCTCATTTTCATTATATATTAATCGATCATTATCAAGTTCTAGTAATATACTATTTTGATGTAAAAAGTAAGGCAACCAGTTGTAGTTATATTATTTTTTTTGTTTGCCATTAAAAAAGAACCCCACACTAGGGCTGTAAGAAATCACCCCGAACCCGACGAACCCGGCCAAGCCGAGCCGACCATACTCGAAAATCACGGATTTCTAATTTTTTATTTAATTTTCAGTTTTAATTATGTCTAACCCACACTGCGCGGGTAGGAGCGCGGGGTGGGGTTACATGAACCCGAGGTAACCCTACCCGGCCGAACATGTTCAAAGTAGGTAAAACAATGTCCAACACTTCAAATTCTTACTTTCATAAGTTTATGGACTTTATGCTTTTAAACTGTTAACTTATTTATGTTTTGAATTCACAGTTTGTGTAAAAAATGCTTGTATGCTATAGTTGTTGAATTAGGACATTCTTTATTTATATTGGAAGTGTTTGATTTCAAAGTGAGTGTTTTAATTGTTCACCTTGCATTTAGACCCCCTCTTGAAAGAAAGACATGTTCTGTTTGATAATGATTTCTTCTATAACAAGCACATATTAATTGACTAAAAATTGATGAAGTCATATATTAAAATTGGTTTTCACCAACCCGAGCAACCCGACCCTACCCGAGGTCACCCGAAAGGTTGCGGGTTTGTAGACTTAAAAGAATGTCACGGCCTAACATTTTCTCAACCCGCACTAGTCGGGTAGGCTCAACCCTACCCTACCCGGCGGATTTACACCCCTACCCCACACACTGTAAATATTTGTGTATGTAGCCGAATCACATTATCTTAACCTATATAAGACATGTTTGGGAGCGCTTTTTAAAAACTGTTTTTGGCTTTTTGACTATAAAAGGCTACTTATGAAAGTATTTAGATGATTAGTCAAAAGTGTTTTGACTTTTTAAAAGAACTTCTAATAAAAGCTCCAAAATATAGCTTTTAAAAAAAAACACTTCTAAATAGACTTTAAAACTTATATCAAAATTTCATTAGTATATTATAAACTTCATTTCAACATTTTTATTGTTTATTAGAAGATTTAAAGATTATTTAAACCTATTAAATTCTTTTATTCAAAACAAGCTACAACTTTTACTTCTTTAATTCTAATAACTAACCATAACTAATTTATTCATAAATCTGAACTAGTTCAAGTGTTTTTCACTATAAGACGAGACCTAAGACCTCCCACAACCAATTACCTTGAATTAATAAATCCAATACCATTAGATAATATACGCATACGTATGTAAGTATGTATTTCTCACTTCTCTCACAAGTTGATTGATCTTTCAAGTTTCAAACACCTACGTACATATCAATCAATTTTGGCACGATCAAAAAATGGGTGGAATGGAAGCAATGATCAGGAGAGTGGAGAACATTGCAGTCAATGCTGATGAGGGTCAGTATGGAAGAGTTGTTCAACATTATCCACTATATATATATATATGTATATATTGTATATGTATATCCATTAATTGTGTGTGCGTGTGAATTTGCGCAACCCAAAAAGAAAAGACAAGAAAAGGACTGGCATAACAGCAATAATTAAGCTTCTGACGGAAGGAGTCATTGACTTTGGAGCAATTTACAACGTAAGAGATGACAGTCCCCTTCCACTCCACTTGCTGCTTTGCTTAATTTGCCGACTCCTGTTTTGCCCTATTGGCTCTCTCATTTGCATTGCATGAAACGTTTCTACAAATCTCTTGAGTTTAATTTTTCTTTGGGAAATGTGCTTCTATACACTCGCCATCTTCAAAATGGATATATATATATATATATATATATACACACACGTATACTTAGTGACCTAGCGGTAATAGAGTACCGTGATCATCTTACGGTCACAAATTCAAATTAAATATGAAGGTTTGTTTTTTATCAACTTAGTATGAGGGATATGATCCTCCTGTAAGACATTTAATACATATTTTTATCATCTGGAGAGTCCTTTTGGCCTCCTGAATTTTTTCATATATATTATGCGCATGTTAATATAAATGAGTGACCATATAAAAATGAATCACATAAAGAATGAAGTTATTCGTAGTAAAATAGGTATAGCATCAATAGAAAATAAAGTGCACGAATGCCGCTTAAGATGATATGACCATGTCTAACGTAGACCGTCAGAAGCACAAGTTCGTGCTTTGGAAGACATTCTTATACCTAATACTAGAAGAGAGATGGGTAGACCAAGAATTACGTGGACTGAAATAGTTAAAAAATACATTCTAGATTTAAGCTTTCAGAAAAGCCTAATTTCGAATAGAACTGCGTAGAAAAATGAAATCTACATAGCCGATCCCAATTAAGTTGGGATTAAAATTTGTTGTTGTTGTTGTGTGTGTGTATATATATATATATATATATATATATATAATATATATAAGATGTTTCTGTCCCCAGTCTATAACAGCTCCAAACCACAAGCTAGCCTACTCTGAAAAGTCAAATATACACATGTACGCCCTCTCAACATAACCTTACCAAAATGAGAAAATTGCAGGAGCAAAACTCAATACAAAGAAGGTAATTCTCAATTGATTTTTCGTGGCCACACTTATTTATATACGAGTACGTGAAACACGTGAGTATATACATACACATCAACATAGTAAATGTAACTAACATGTATTGCAACAGCAAGACTGAAGTTTCGTTCACTTCGCGGATTCGTGTTTTCAATTTGAGTTAAGATGTGACATTTTTTGAGAGCTTTTCACTGTAGCAAAAAAAGTTATATGTGACATTTTCTGAGAGTTTTTTTTATTATAAAAACTTAAAACTGAAAACTCGAATCGGTAAAATGAACGAGATCTGAATGTCCATTCAATTCGTATTATTATTCTTCAAGTTTTCTCTCTCTAGCCTTATTAGAGTCCTTTTCCTTTTTCTCTATTTGGCCATTTTAATCATTTATCGGAGTCCTTTTGTATCTATCAGTATTCATACATTATGATTTTGGGCTCATATATAATAAAATATTTATCTCATATATCCAGACTAAACGAAGTTTTTCTTTTCTACCCTAAAAGAGTGATTGTTGTCAATCTTTTTTTTTTTTTTTTTAATTTTCACAATAAGCAAGGACGAAGCCAGATTATTATTATTATTTTTTTCAGGAGGCTTGAGTTAAATCAAACCTTTAAACAAATTAATAGTGTGATCAATATCGAATTCTCTTTTATTTTCTTTTTACTATTTGTTTCTTTATTTTTGTTTCTGTTAATCCATAGATATTTTTGTTTCTTTCTTCACATATATAAACATAAGTAGTATTAAGTAGTATAGCGTGATATTTTATCTGTTTGGGTTGCATATGTTAAATTGTAATAATGGAAAGAAAAAAAAAAGAAGAAAAAACACAAATTGAAATGATAAGGTATAATCAAAGTAAAAATGAAGAGTGTAAATGAAATTATTAAAACATTTGCATAACATTTGAAGTCACAAACCATTAGGGACCGTTTGAAGTTACAAAAAAAATAGGGGGTTTGAATAGTGTGGGGGACAAAAATATAAATTTATAAAAAAATATAACTGGGCTCAAGCTACTTTCGTCCCTATTTTTTACATAATTCTTTTACATAAAAATAAAAGTTTTACGTAATCGAAGCATATGAGTTTTCTCATAATTCTTTTATTTTTAATTTTTAATATTTACAAAACCCCCAAACTCAATTTTTGTGAGCTCGAAATTAAAACTGCAGCCTTCAAAAGTACACGTAGAACCGTATAGAATAATAAATCAGCTCTTTGCAATTCAAAATGTCAAAATCTTCGCAGTTCAATAGAATTCCTTTTTCCTTTAGAGGAAAAAAAAAAAAAAAGAATGCAAGAGAAAGAATGTTCGTTTTCAGCTTAGTTTTAAGCAAATTACAACAGATGGTTATTCTATATCAGAAAGAATGAAGGAACTAAAAACAAAACAACCTGTATTACTGGTTTAGATATTATACTTGTGATGAAACCTTTAGCTTTTGACCTCGCAATCCATTCCAGAAGGCAGCTGCATTCATCACCTTCTTACCAGGAAGCTGAACTTCTAGTACCTAAGAAACCCCAAAAAAAGAGAAGATAAAATAGATCGAAAGAAAAACATTTGCGTACGGAAAGTTGAACCGTTACAGCTTGGGGTGTTTAGTATGAGGATTCGTGCCATGGTTAGTAGCTCACTATAATGTTTTCTCTCACAAAAAACACACGTAAATGAGAATGATTCTAAATTCATGAACCAAACGTCCACGAACTGTAATAAAAAATAAAAAATAAAACTTGGCATCTTTTTAGAAAGCCAGAGTTTGTATGTTGAGAAAAAAAAATATAATTATTAACTATTATTATTATTATTTTGTAAAATTATGAGTTCTTCGAACCGAAAACCTCGCAAACCTCATACTATGTGCAACAAAATTTCTTTGAGAAACAGCGCAAGAACACATTTTAAACCAACCATTTCTAAAATGAAATGAAAAAGGTTGGTGAATGAAATTTCCTACATGGTCGCAGAAAAGTTAGGGAACATACCTCAAGGGTTGTGCCTTGCCCACATGGAAATATTAACGCACCCTTTAAAAAAGTAACGTCATCTGCTTCATTGCGCTCGAGATTGCTTTGGCTGCAAACTCTTGTTGTGATAATTTTGAGCTCGAGAACTTTGAGAGAACTGTCTCCTTTCTCAACAACTACAACTTTAGCTCGAGTGCCCGGCCACCCTGCAAATGCACGGACCTATACAGGTTGTGTGTCATGACTGTAAAATTCAATTCAAGAAAGTGGAAAATGCATACCTTATTATGCAGGACTGTAGCTTCTTGGTTAAAGGATAGCCAAGATTCCTCAGGCTCGATCTGCAAAAGCAAAATAACTAGCAATCAACAAAAGTGACGAAGAACGATAAACTTTCCAAGATTTTTATTGTTTTTTAAGGAAACTGTGCATTTTTAATATTTTACTATTAGCTTTCCAAGAAGTTATTGCAGAAAACAGAGAATCACAAGTAGTATTCAGGTAACTTTTAGCAATTTCTTTTGTTACAGTATCAAAAAACGAGGAAGAAAAAACAAACAAAAAGGGATAGCTTTTGCGGTAGTAATATCCAACTTCTACCTAACGGCATCAATAAAATTTTTGCATGTGGCCTTCAAAACGAAAGAAACATGTTGATTTCCAAAATGCGGGAAATCGTCCTTTAACTTTTATGTGATGTTAAAGTGCGTCCATCTGCCGAGCAGAAATTTGACTCTGTACGCAAGAGTTCACCCTTGTCCTCTGCAGCATTAATGTCTTTTATTGTCAATGAGTATTATTTTCTACAAGCCTACATTAGAGTAGATGTCATAGTGATGTTCAGGTACCCCTTTACCAACCAAAGGCTTTCACCACTTTCTATTTTTGTAACAATTTTTTTTTCCTGAAAATGAAATTGTACATTGAAATTTAGATAAGTTTAGAGCTTTAAATTGGAGCGAAAAATGCACAGATATGCTACAGTATCAATAAGGGGAAATTTTACGACAACTTCTGTCAGTTGGACAGTTCATGCATGGGAATTACATAATTTTTTTTTTCTATAAGAACCACCAAACTTCAATTGAAAAAATACATCAATTACATAAATATAGTCAACTCAAAATATCTACCTATCAATGATGTAGTTAAGCTTTTCCATAAAAATTAAATGAGTTGTACCTTCGGAGCTAAGGTAGCTTTAGAATCATCTTGGGGTGATGCTTTCCCCTTAGCTGATCCATCAAGTATGGAAGGAAGCTCACGAATCAAGAGTTTCGCACCTGAACAACAAACAATGTCTGATTACTGAAATGCAATTGAATACAAGGTTCAGTTCATTATTGTACTTTTAAACTTGGATTCTATCAACACAACAAGCTAGCTGCTAGACAGCTGAGAACAAAGGAGAAGAGATAGAAAACGAGAATGAGAGAAAATATAAGGGGCAAAATTGCAATTATAACTCGTAATATCAGTTTATGTACAAAGGTCATCTTACAGAGTGACCCCTTTTATTTATTCAAAAAGTACAGCTGAGTCGAGGATTAAAAATTTGAGGGAAATTTTTTCTAGAATCAACTATGCCCGTAACTTATTGGCAAACTTAAATCATTTAAATCCTCCATCCAAACAGTGCAAAAGCTCTCGAGTTTAACACTGATGGTTACAAATAGGAGCTAAATAGTTTAAGCTTGTATTAAGTACTGTTTGGAAATAGCTTGAAAGCACTTAGGGAGGAGGAACAAAAAGAACAGTTTTCCCAATCCTCTAAGTCTCACTACTCTAAGGGCCTAAAACAAATTGCAACGAAAAATGCAAGCACTCTTATTTCTATGCAAAAAGAGTAGAACTACAGAGAATAGTTGCCAAAAAAAGAATAGCTCGCAGCATTGTTTTAAGAACAACAATATCCTTGTTTAACTGACGCAGCTACTTCGTCTGGCACAAAAAGTTAGTGAACATAAGGAACTCAAAAGTTTACGAGAACGAAAAACAAAAATAGAAACAACAAAAAAGAAGAATCCTGGAAAAGAAGGACTAGTCTATTCATAAATATAATTTTGAATCAATTTTCAAATTCACTTTGGCACAATTGTGTCCTATCTTTTGTAAAATAATCTATTTTTTTTTCCAGTATTAACAAGCTATGACTACATGGTAACATAAATGTTCAGAATTTGGTACATAGAAAAACTAAACAGCTGATTATTTTTTAGGATGACTATGAAAAAACATACTACAAGCACACCTTCAGAAAATAGCACTGCAAGTAAATCTGGCGCCTGCATTAAAAACCGGTGTGACCATTAATCAAAAAGTACTTCCCAAGGGGTAACGTTACTTTTAAGAATAACACATAAGTAATTTTGTCTATTAGGTTGGTTCATATCATCAATGCAATAAAATGCATAGTCTTCAACGGCACACTTATGCTCATATGCAAACGCAGGCAAGGAATAGGAGAAAGTTACAAATAGGAAACTTGATAAATATGTTATGGTTCAGAAAAAGTACAAAGAAATATTTTTCATCTTCACACCCACATAAACTTTTCCAAGTTCCCCTCAAAGCCATCTCAACAATCAATTAGATCCAAACTTAAAAACTTAATGGAGGTCATGTAAGGGGAGAAAAAGGGAAGAAAACTAAACTTAATTTGATCATCAACTTTGAACCTTTCATAGGCAATGATAGGTCCAGCATCAAGTGCGCGTACAGTGAATGCTAGGGATACTCCTGTTTCTTTAACACCATCCTAATGAAAAAAATTGACATGTGATTGCAAAACTTTGATAAAAAATCGTTGTCAAGAAATCACTAGAGGTGACATTAATATAACCGAGAATACAAAGAACGCTTAATAGTGAATATAAAAAATTAAGAACCTGCAGTGCCCTTTGAACAGGAGCAGCGCCACGGTATAGTGGAAGCAAACTTGGGTGTATATTGACTGTCCCTGAGAAGTTTTTACAAGAAGTTAGGACTAGTGATCAAGTTTTACAATAAAATCACTTGAACTTTAGCATTTTTTCTTTGATCAGTCATGATTTGCAGCAATTCAAAGAGCAGAATATTTCTCTTAATACTTTAACCTTTTGGTTATATGCCCTCTGAAAAGGGGAAAAAAAAATGACAGCTACTGGTCTCTTATGTCCGAGACCAAATGAATCCCCTGTTTTTCTGAATGCTTGCAAGCAAAAGTAGCCTAATTAGACATGACAAAAGAAACTAAATACCATATGCATAGGTTGATTTTGGGCGCAAAAACAGTTGACATTTGATTCAAACTTCTTCCTCGTGCCAAATCAGCCTGTTTCTGATAGGAAGTCTTGACAACAATGGGATATGATTGGTCTTAGATACAAGGGCGGCAATGGTTGTCTCTTTAAAATATTTTCTCCCTTTTACTTGGTTTAGTCAGAAAATTTGGGTCCCAAGAGAAAGCAAAGAAAGGATCTTCAAATCAAAGTGCAACTATCATATCAATTTTACATCTCAAAATGAGAAACGGAAAAAGCTACACTAAAGCATATGTACCAAATAGTATTACAAGACCAACAAAATTACCTCTTTCTCATAAACGAACAGAAACTTTTGAGATAGTGGGAGAGAACTTACAACAGAGAACAAAGTGTTGTTTCTAACTAAAAGTGCTAAAACATATGTACACACAGACACCGACATCAAATTATGTTCTCTTTATTAAGAGGGTCCTGTTTACTATTAGGCCTCTCCTTGTGTTATCAGCACAATAAAAATTCTTTGACTGGCTTAGCTAAAGAAAATCAATATCGTATCTGTACCTTCCCTTCGTCAAACATAGACAGGCAATGTAAAATCATTAGTTTAATTAAAAGGTAAAAAGGTTGTCTCGTGTCCAAGCATGGCATGTTGAAGTACTAATGGATCTATCTAATTTTCATTAGGAAAAAAAATACATTTGACTAACCTAATGGAGGTATATTGAGAAATTTCCTAGGTAAAATATTCCCATATGCTGCTGTAATACAAAGTTCTGGCTTCAATTCTCTTAAGTTGGACAAGAAAATCTCCTGCACAAAAGTAAAAAGGAAAAATGAAACCACCATAATCTAGAATTGGAAATCCCTAATGGTATCATATCAAAATTCTAAAAACACTCCTTCAATCATTCTAATCAAAAGGAGGCATTATAGCAGATGCTAAAATGTTACCTCCAACTGCAAACATATCAATTGCCTCGTGGGTACAATAGATGCTCAGTAAAGAAACCAGGAAAGCATGAATAATGGACAAACATACATCTAGACCTCATAAGAGGGTGGTACTATAGTTGAAAAAGTTTTAAATAGATGATTGCTCTCTTATTTTCTAATGCGGCCCAATGGAGTTTGAATAATAAAATCGAAAATAGTAGAAAATAGGCCAATATGAAAAGCTTAAGAAAGTATATAGGCTAATTTTTAGTTATAGAAATTAATAGGCCATAACTTGTCAAGTTATGGTTCATAAGCAGATAAGTTATGGACAAACTTTTCAAGTTATGGTTCATAGCCAGACAAGTTATGAACAAAAATCGTGAATTATGGACAATAACTTGTCAAGTTATGGTTCATAACCAAACAAGTTATGGACAAAAACAGTAATTTGGTCTATTTATTAACTTATGTAAACTATTGGCCGATTAATTTTAATTCATCTCAAGTCTTGGCCTATTTCCCTCTTTCTCCCTAATAAAATTCGAATTAAAACAAACAAGCCTTCAAACATTTGAAAATAATCAAATTTGTAAAGGCTTTAGAGAATCCAGGGGCAATGATCTTCTTTTGATGGGCCCAAATGGCATACCCTGGCCCAACAGTGGCCCATGTTCCTTGGACAGATAAGAAGGCCTCCCTAAGTTCAAGGATGTGTAGACGCTAACTTCCTTCACCATCTCTGCATCTGTTATGTAAAGGAATTGCATGTTTCCTAATTCATACATAAAAACTGGACCAACATGGATTAATGTTCTTCTTTAAAGGACGTATAAATGCAACAAGAAGAGTAGAATTCAAGTTCCATCATACATAAAAAAAGTTACCAAGAATTAAACCATTTAAAAAACAAAAAGAATACTAACTATTAGTTGGAAGAAATGAAATGTAAGAGTAAAAGGTTCTTTTGAAGTTGGGGGGACCATTACGAAAATAAGCAAGTATTTGCTCATATATGCATAGTTCCTATTGAGAGCACAAGCCATTATATCGCAAAATGCAGAAATGGTGTTCCATGAAAAGGCTCATTGATGGTTAAATCTAATGCTTTGTATGATAAGAGAGAAGAAAAGAAAGGTATATAACTAAGGTGAGGAAAATAGAGAGGAAGGAAATGATCTTTCTCTTATTATGTTCGTAGTCCACTCCTAATTTCCCATAGTGGAAGAGATTAAAATTCCGATTAGTTGAAGGATTTGAATCCCGCATCCAATCTATATCCTCCTCTTTTCTCTCCACCAAACCAAAATCCTTTCACTAAGCCCTTTACCACTCGCCATCATTCCAATTTTTCCTCCTACCAAACAAGCTCTAAAATTCAATTTGTAATCACATAATGAGAGAAATTTAAACATGTAGAACTAGGATCGAAAGATTATCAAATTACCTCTCCCGCCCGTTCGGGTGTGAAAATAAAGTCGGAAGGGAAGTTTCTGTCAAGAGCAAATTGTGCTATTGGAGAAGGCAACAACTTTTTCCCCCTATCCCTTCTTGAAGGTGGCTGAGTAACTATTGCAGCAACCTAGATAGACATTACAACTATAATCAAAATCGAGACTTCCATTTTGCAGAAGCAGAAATAAACCGAGAAAACGACAATTAGAACCAAGCAGGCCTAAACTTTTGTTCGTTAGATAAAAATACGAATCATGACCCATTAATTGATGGGTTCTCTTAAAATTTTGCAAATGTAAGACTAGAAAGATTACATTGAGAAAAGAATCCTAACCGAATATCAAGAGCAAAAACACAACAAAAACCAAACCCGGACCAAATTCTTTACCTTTCCTCAAACACCAAATGCGGGTAAAGGTGAATAAGGCAAGAAAGAAACAAAGAAGCAAAATTTGAAAACCGAAGAGAAAAATTGTATTTGTACCTGAAACGAAGATTCTGGAGCCGTGGAGGCATTGAAGAGAGCGTCGAGAACGGTGGTGGAAACCTGAAAAAGAGAAAACCCATTTCGCCATCAAGCAAAAGGGGGGAGAGACAAAGATAGAGAGAGAGAGAGAGAGAGAGAGAGAGAGAATGAACCTGAGGGGAGCCCAAAAAGACGATCTGCTTCTTCTTAGTAGTGTTGGAAGAAATGGGTAAAGTAGAAGAAGAAGAAGAAGAAGTGGAAGTTGTGAAACAACAGAAGCGTCGAAGCATAAGTGAGGAATTCATCGGACTGACTCTCTCTCTCTTCAACGGCTAAACTTCTGTTTGGATGAATGAACGACGCAGGAAGTTAATCCGGTTAGGGAATTTGTAACAAAACGCCCAACTTTCTTTCAAATTAATAATAATAATAATAATAACCGGTTTAATAGCAATCTTATGACCCGACCCACTTCTATGTACGTGCGGAGCTCCAAAAGAGAAAATTACATAATTTTATGTAGACTTAGGCTCCGTTCACTTCGTTGATTCGAGTTTAGAATTCGAGTTGAGATGTGACTTTATGTGAGAGTTTTTTACTGTAACAAAAAAGTTAGATGTGATTGTTTGTGAGAGCTTTTTACTGTAACAAAACTTGAATTCTAAACTCGAATTAGCGAAATGAACGGGGTCTAAATTGAGAGCCAACACTTGGGGTTGTTCTTTTAGAGTGTAACTTGAGTGTAGTTTTTGAGTTGAATTTGAGTTATAACTTGAGTTGAAGTTGTAACTTGAATAAAGTTGAATAAAGTTGAAACTTAAAAAACGTGAACTTGAATAAAGTTGAAACTTAAGTTGTCTTTTTTTGAGTTTTTTTGGACAAAAGGACATGCATATATTACTATATATAAAATATTAGTAATGAATTGTAAACAATCATACAAAACTATTGTTTTGTAACTTTATTGAAAAAAAAATAAGCTCACTTTGAATTACAATAGACTAAAATGGGATAAAAATGCCCAAAACATCTCTATTTGGATCATTTTTAAAAATATAATAGAACAATAAACTTCGAGCTAACTAGTCCAATCTAAAAATCTAAACCCAGCCTAGCTTGAGGTTTTTAGGTAAGACCCAAAAACATAAGTACTGGACTGACCTGTTTAGTCCGATCTAAACTTTCACCTCTACGTTAGATTTAACACTAAAAATAACATTCTATTAAAGAGTAATTTTTCTATTCAAATGCTAAAATTTAACATTACACGTTCATTTAGCAATTTAGTGGAGATGCTCTAATAAGAGCTAAAAACAGAGAGGGAGAAAGACAAGTTTAACAATGAGCTTTCTTTTCTAGGATTTCTTTTCACGTATTTATGTACATAGGAAACTGTGAAGAGGCATAGGCTCATAATGGTTTACAGCACAACCAGAAGTATTGCATTCTAAAGTAGAGTTGAAATAAATCAGGAAAAAAGTACCGACAGAAATTTCGACGATAGGAACTGTCATTTCACTACCGGTTATTTTAACCGTGAGATTAATTATTCAACGGTCTGGTCTATAAGTGTCCGTGTTAAAAATTTAAAGCGTGCAGCACGGTGTTGCTCTTACAACTGAAATAATACGTTTCAACAGTTAAAAAGGACAGTTCCTACCGTAGAAATTTCCTTACTACCATATTCTTAACTGCTTTACATTTGCATTTAAACCTATTATAAACTTCAAGCCATTCCTAACCCATCAATGACGTCCAAAGCTTTGATCCGATCAATATCAAAGTCAATAACAGGACCGTAAGATGGCCACCTGATCGCAAAACGGTTGTTGGTTTCACTTGTTGGGGAATCTCTACTACTCTTGGTCAATCTGTGGTGCTTGCGTAACTTGGCCTTTGACTTTGAGGCGTCAAAATTCTGACTCTTACTAAATCCAGGAGTTGATATCTTCTTCCCAACGTCATCGAGCATCTCTTGATCTTCAAAGGTCAACTTCGAGGACAAACATTCTGGCGGTTGAGATGATGAAACCACATCGTCGTTCCTCGCTTGGCTGATAAGATGGTGAAGCCACACCAGCAGTTCAAAAATGCAGGCTTCGGTTTTCTCTTTATCCGCATGGTACAACGTCTCGATCCTCAGTACATCAGTGTGGCTAGCTGCAGGTTTCTGGTACAGATCAGACCTGCAAAACCTTAGTCAGAGTAGCTAACGAAACATCAGGGACAAGTGTATGGGACTTTTCTATTACTCACCCTATATTTTCCCATTCTCTGACCCAACCAAATCCTTGAAGATCACTAAGTGGACAAAAATGTGAAAAACAATTAACCAGAGTGAAAAAAGAAAGGAAACAGTTGTCACAAGATTACAACAAGAGGGAACAATCAGCTATAAGTAAACCGATCAAATACGATCAAAGCTTTCCAAATAGTTCCTATATTTAAGAAAAAAAAACAAGGCCTGATATTATCATACCCTGCCCATTATGTAGACAAAGACAATATTAGAGGAATCTGTTATGCTTTAAGAATGGGATTCTAGGTTTAATATCTTAACAGAATGATAGCTTTATGTAAGGTTAAGCAATTCAAGCAAGAAAAAAAAAAGGATAAGGTTATGCGGCTTTACTTGGTTGTATTACGAGCAATTGGAACAATCCACTGCAATGTTTTCTCCATTTTAGCAATGACTTGAGGGATCTCCTGGATTACCATTTGAAGAGAACTATTTAGACGAATTGTATGGATAGTTAAAAAGTTTCAAAGGTTAATTTGAAAGAAAAATATCTTTGGACATGAGAGTCCGATAGAGAATACATTCACGGAGAAACTTGAATTAAAATTTCATCAGTTACTCATCTCGAAATAGAAAGGCAGAATTAGGTAGAGAAGAAATACCTTATCCTTGGCTTGAACGGACCGTAATCTTTTTGATAAAGCTGATTTCATATAGTCTGGCAATCGATGATACAAATCATCCCTTAAATTTGTAGGCATGGAACTTGACAGGGAAACCTGGTCAGATTCGTAAAAATATCAACAGACATATGGCGAAGTTCTATGTCGACAATTAACTCTTCACAAAATGATTTTTCAGTTTACAGTTGCATGTTTATGGACAACACTGTGATTATAAGAAGGGTTTTTGGCACTGGGGCACCATGAACTTACTGTTGTTTGGCAACTTGGACTCCTAACTTTGGCAAACGAGAAATATTTTGCAATTGTGGTCCCATAGCTAACATATTACATATATCAATTAATGTATATAAGGCCCCGCGATTTGTGCAGAAAATTCACTCAAAAGTTTTCATTTGTTGGCAAGTTGGACCCTCCACATTTTTAATGTAAGATTTAGGATCCTAATTGACATCCGTTATCTCTTCAGACTATTTAGGGCCCGTTTGTTTCATATATCAAACAAAAATCATTGATTCTACTACAGTGTTTTCCTCTCAAAATATTTGAATTTCAAACGTCAGAATCAAGAATCGTGGTTTGAGTATACGTTCCAAACGGGCCCTTAGGTTTTCAGTTTAAGATTGCATGTCTACAGACAAACTCTGCTTGTTAAGAAAACTATAATGGCAAACTTACTCATTGCTACTTTAAACTTTAAAGTACAATTCATAAACCAACCGTACTTATATAAACTATAAATTGGAAATCTTTATGAAGTAAAGGGGCAATCTCAAATGCAAATAATTATGGAAAGATAGCAACTAATGTGTCTTAAACTTACAAGAGTATCGATTTGTCTTATAATATGCGCATAATTCAACGCAATACCAGCAGGCCCCAATCTATTATTGTTGCTCTGTGAACCTTCAGATGAAGTATAACAATCTGCAAATACATGAAGGTAAAACAAGATAAAAACCTCATTAAACAAATAGACTTGATAAACAACTTGTACACCAGTCTTCTCAACTTTCTTTTCATAACGCAAGAAGCAAACAAGTGAACGAGAAATTTTTGGCATCTTAATGAAGTATGAGAAGAGATGCAAGTCAACAATTTTCTTTTAGAAGAAAGACCATTATGCTCTCCGATTTATCAGAATCTGGAATCTTTCAAAATGATAAGTCCACTATTGTGTCCTAAAAGTGGTGATCTACAAACCAAGCAACAGCAAACAAACATTTAATTCATCAAAAGACCATCCAATACTTGCCCTTCATTAGAATTGTTAAATAAGAAAGACATTCTAAGATATTGAAGGTTGTCGGTAACTTAGTCTGATGTTCTCAAGTGTTTTGTTTTCCAAGAGTAATTATTTTTTTCTTTAATTGATTTTCTTGTGTTTTTTTTTCCCAAGAGTAATTGGTGTTATATTTTCTAAATCTTTAATGTTTCTAAATAGTTTTCGATCTGCATACGTCCCTACAAAATTGATTAAGTGTTTTGATTGGAGTAAAGAAAAGAGTTTTCAGGAGCAAAAATTCATGTATAACCCAATAACCAAGGTTTGATAAGGGAACCGGAGTAGGCTACTATGAGACAAAAGATTGGGTATGTGCCAACGGCAAATTTAAAAAACTTCCAACTATAAATTCTAAACTATGTTTAGTGCATACCTGCGCTGCCAAAGGCATCATGAATCTTCAAATGCAAGAAATGCACAATGTCCACAAGGCTCTTGATCACCTGTAGAGAGAATATTTTAGATTGGTTTCTAGAACTACATCTTCGAAAAAGAAAATTTTTTTTTTTTTTTTTTTAATTGTGACAACAGGATGTAGCAAACAGAAATAGCCAAAAGACATTCTAATGTCTTAAAGACAATTTCCTCCCTCCTATATGCACATAAAAGTGTCAGATAAAAGACAGGTTATCTTACCTCTTCAAAGCTCTTGGACCAGAGTGATTTTTTCTTTAAAATGATTACATGCTTCCGTTGTGCCTGCTGCTCTTCTTTTAAGATTGCTATATCTCCTAAATGTTGAGAGATATAGAAATGAAGAAACTAAGAACTGACGTGATAATAATTATAAAGGCAAAAAAAAGAAAAAAAAATCAAAATAATACTAGTAGCTCAAGGACTATAAATACCACTTGCAGAGGACAATTTTTATATAATGATCACAAAACTTTTCTCTTCTATTTTTTTTTTCTCTCTCTTTTCCCGCTGGGAAAAAAAATGTATTTCTCAAGTATTACTAAGCTAGATAGTGTTAAGTGTTAGATAAAGGTCTAGTAAGTTCCTACATGAATGAAAGCAAAAAAAGTAATGTTGGATTATTGGATGGCGCTTTAGTTGCATAGAATCTGCAAATAAAATATGCCTGCTAACTCATGTCCTGGTATGTTTTAAATTTTTTGGTGGCAATGGATATGAATGCGTGAGTCGGGCCAAGATATATGGCACATACTGTTCTATTAGAAAAATTATGAACAAGTGAGTCGGGGCGTCCTCTTACAATTGTGTTTTCGACATATATGCATATCAATGTCTGAACGCATGTTTACCTGAAAAGAATTGCTAGTATCAATCCATGACTATAGTCTACATGATCATGATTCATTTTCTTGCTTTTTACTGGTTCTATAATTTCTTCAAAGAGGAGGAAGCAAAGGTCAACATGAATGTCTGCTCTTAGGCGTTTCCTATGAGAAATATCTCACGTAAATATGCTAGATTTCTTTCAAACAAAAAAAAAAAAAATATATATATATATATATATATAGGCATGAAACTCTTCGTTAATAAAACGCATGGAAAAGGGAGGACAATATTTCCTCAAACGAAAGAAAAACTAAAAACAGCAGTCAGCAAATACAAATACATAATCGGAAAAGGTCTCTTTAACTTAACATAAAAATTCAGAGGAATATTCCTTACTGAACTCTTTCGAATGATGAAATTTAATAGGATAGCCAAAACTTAATTCTTTCAAGATAAACTCCGTAGACTAATGTACAACAACTTGCAGGACTAAAAAAAAAAAAAAAACAGAGAGAGAGAGAGAGAAAAAAAAAAAAAAAAAAAAAAAAACAAAAAAAAAAACAAAAAGTGTTTTAAAAAAAAACCACTAATACAAGAGTCAAAAGTTGCTTTAAGCAACAGAAGGAATGCCAAATGTCATTTACTGAGAATATCAATCCACAAGTTACCTTTTTGAGCCACATTTGTGCTATCCTCTTTAAACTTTTCTACAATATCTCGTTCAACTTTGTCCAACACTTTCAATGCCTTAAATAATTCCTGAAACCAAGAAACAGTTTTTTATTTCCTTTAGTTAATTTTCAAACAATGTAAGTCGTTTTCATTAATTGGAAACTAAGATGAAGAGAGAAAGAAATATCAAACTTAAGCAGCCAATGGAGTAAAAAATAAGTTCCTATCAATCAAAGAGAGCTTTCATAGCTGAATTGTTCAGGAAAATAACTGCAAGTAAGACGGCAATAAATGAAAACAATAACAAAAAAACACAATAACTCACAGTTGTATGGTTAACCAGAGTCATTAGTTGTTGCACGGTTGAGTCTGCATTCAAGCGCATATTTTTAGTATGCTCCGTGGACAACCTATCAAGGGCAAAAAATATGAAGAAGAAACGTTGAGAATCTTACTCAAAACTTTGGATGGAAAGAAAAATTAAAAGAACAAAAGAGGGCATCTTCAGATATTACTTCTTGAAGTATCGATCCAAATTGTGCCACTGAGGATCTTTACAATGATTTCCAAGACGCACCACTTCTCTGGAAAATTTTTCCAATTCCTCTCTGATGGATTTGATCAGCAGAAAAAACATCATTTTTTCTTCAATTTTTAATCATATGAATAAATAAACAACAAGCTAAACATAACCAAAAAAATAAAATGAAAATGTGAAAATATAGCAAAACCATACAGCTAAAATGTACCTCATGTCAACTTTAGCAATTCTAAGGAGTTCATCCATATCTTCTGCTACTAACATTTTCACCCCTTCTGATCGAAGCCTAATCGTCTTCAAATCTTTGATGTTACCTTCCGAGAATGATTCCATCAGCTTGGCACCCTTTATAATAGTGTTTCCAACCTCAAAAGCTAAAATTGAAATTTTACTCTCTTTTAATGAAACCCTCATAGTGAAACTACTATTATTGTTCAAATTCATCACACTACTACCAAGAGTGTCCAAAATATCCACAGCCCTTTCAAACCAAGCAGAACCAGCTCTCCCTAAACGTAAGTTCATTGCTGAGACCTACATAAAACAAAATCAAAATGAGAAACAGACCAACAACACAAACAGGACAAGTCCGCCAAAAAAAGAAAAAAAGGTATTTGGCACATTTACTCCTTGAAATTTTCACGATTGCCCTTGAGATCTTTTTTTTTTTTTTTTTTAAAGGTATTTTCATCTTGGCAAATTGCCATTGAATTTAATGAAGTGTTGTAGAACTCATTTGATGAAAGAAACCTATATTTCATATGACGATCAGGCGTCGTGTCATGTGAACGAGGGCATGTCCTTCCAAATTTTAACATGATTCATCTATTTTAGGGCACTATGCGACATTCTATCAAACTCAGGTGTAATTTACCACAGTTCAAAGATCAGAGGCAACTTGCAATCCCAGTCAATGTTAAGGGCAAAAGAACCAAAAATAATTATAATAATAAAGAGAAAAAAAACACACACACAATAGGACAAGAGAAAACAAAGTTTTTGACATGTGAAAGACACTAAGATTGAACCTACCTTTGTGATAGCCACCTGCTTCGATGGGCAGGGAATTGCATCACAGAAAACAAGCGAATCGGCCCTACACAGATTATCATTAGCATGGGAGTCTGAGACCGAACTTGGAAGCCTCACCTTGTTCCGAACACCCATTTCCACTTCCTTCAATCACAAACTCTTTTTCACTTTTTTTTTTTTTTTTTTTTTTTTTTTTTTTTTTTAGGTTTCTCAACTCAAACCCCAAAACCCAAATAAAAGAAAAGGCTCAAACAAAATTTTCAACTCCAACCAAAGCCTCAAAAATTAACTCAATATCGCAATTGCAGTAACTGAATTCCAGCCTTTGAAACATCAAGATCAAAACATAAGAATAAGATGCCATTGTCTATGAACTATGAACAATTGGGTAGAATTAAAAATCATCAAAACCCATTCAAGAATGCATAAAATGGAAATATGCAAGTGATTGGTAGATGGCTTAACCGATTAACCGGTTAAAGTTGTTCATTTAGTCGGTACCCAAAAAAAAAAAAAACCATAAAAGAAATAGCCAAGAAATTTACACGGATAGAAAGAGGGTGCAGAGGATTACTGCGAGAGGATGACAAAATGGTGATGTTGATTATGGTGGTGGTGGCGGTAAAAGAATCGGCAATACATTGTTATGTCTTGTGTAAAAAGCCCACCAAATTTCTAGAAGAGAGATATATGATTTGAAAGAACTGAGGTATATAGGAACCAACACAGACATTTCCTCGGACTTTCTATATCTTCAGTTTCTTTAGTTTTCGTTTGTGCACCAATCGCCGGCTTTTACATGAAGCTTCCACTCGGTATGCAGATATTCAACGGGTTTTTGTTTACACGAACCGCCCTAAAAATGTGCGAGCTAAATTTTGGTTTTTGGATAATGTGACGTGTATATTGATTTGGCATGGAAGTGTTTTTTATGGAAGTTTGATAATAAGGTTTGGTTTGGAATATTCTTTTATTCTTTTTTTCACTAGTAGGGTTTTTCTACTAATAAGGTTAGTTTATAATTGTCATATCTAATTAAAATCATATCAGATTGAAAGTTTTTGCACAACGGACGATTTTTTATACAAGTCTGATGGTCAAAAATAAAAAATTATTAGTAGTTTATTTTTCAGGTTTATAAGAGAAACTCTCCTCTTTTTACTAAGAAATTATTGTTCTTGAGTAATCTTCATTAGAGCAATGCTATTAGACATCGGTGGTGCTTAATACCATCTAATAAAATGTGGGTCCGTAACATGAGACTCACCTTCTATTAGTACTAGTGGTGCCTTTAAGTATTTTTTTCATCCATTAGTATTTGATAAAGTGACGCCTTTAAGTATTTTTTCATCCATTAGTATTTGATAAAGTGACGTGTATATTGATTTGACATGGAAGTGTTTTTTTTTTCTTTTTCTATTTGAACTAAAGATTTGACATGGAAGTTTGATAATAGGGTTGGTTGGTTGGTTTAGAATATTATTGTTCTTTAATAATTTCCATTGGTGTTTGATAAATAAAATAAATTTGTTGCACCATGGTTGAAGAATCAGACCGTCAATATGAGATAAGGGTCAAGAACTCTAGAAGCCAGCACTAGACTTGACGGTCGAGGAGTCCTAGAAGGAAAATAGCACTTCAGTTGAGGAGATAACTTGGCTAGCACAATGGATTTGGTCGAGAAGTCCAATAGAGTAGCTTGCATAGTGGAGTTCGAGTTACTAGGGTGGTCGAGATCTGTCAGTGCCCGCTGAATTAAGGAGGGATAATCTTTATCCTCTAATTCAAATTCAAATAAAGGATCAGAAATAGATTATTATCAACAATCATGTATTTAAACTCAAATAAATTAATATGTAGATAAAGCTACGAAAATCCTTCTCAAAGAAAGGATAAGGAGGCTTATCCTATAACGTAGTTTAGAGATAATATATATCATGTATAGAAAAACTTATAGATAAGGATTAAACCACAAATTTATTTTTTACGCACAATTTTTAACTCGAAAAGATATTTTATGTACTCTTAAGACTTAGTGCATTTATAAGTGGACGTAGCAATAATATTTTTTACCGAACTACTAAAAATTTGTGTATTCTCTTTATTTTTTGCATTAATTTTTAAGTCAATTCGTGAGAATTGTAACGCGAGTATTCTCAAAGAGATAAATTATGAGTTGATGAATGTTTACCATCAACAAAACTTATTTTCATTCAAGTTATGAAATCAGCAATTACTCTTTGAATTTGTATCGATCTTCCCAGTAAAGTTGCCGTGGGGGCGAAAGGGGGCAGCAAACCCCGTCTCGGGAATAAAGGGACCAAACTTCTGCATCAAATTTTCGTTTACAATATTTAGAACTCGTTCAATTCGAGGATTCGGGTTTTTAATTTGAGCCGAGATGCGACATTTTCTGAGAGCTTTTCACTGTAATAGAAAAAATTAGATGTGACATTTTTTAAGAGTTTTTTACTGTAGAAATCTAGAACTGAAAACTCGAATCGGTGAAATGAACGAGGTCTAGAGAGTTTCACACTTGTGAAATTTAATTGCCTTTTCTTACACCGGTTTCTTTCTGTTTTTTTTTTTTTTTTTTTTTTTTTTACATAAACCGTCCTAAAAATTTGTATGATAAATTTGGATAATGTGACATGAATATTGATTTGACATGGAAGTTTTTTTTTTTTTTTTTTTTTACTTTTTTTTTGGCTAATAAAGATTTCACATGGAAGTTTCGTAATGAAGTTTGATGTCAAATCAATTTCACAAGTGACATAATACTTCCATGTTCCATGTGACATAATATTTTTTGTTTGATAATGAAGTTTGATAATAGGGTTGGTTTGTTAGTTTGGATCCTTTGGAATATTATGTCTTGTTCTTCAATAATTTCTTTTTTTTTTTGCCGGAAAATTCATTAATTTCCACTGGTGTTTGATAAATCTATTTTCATTCAAGATATGAAAGCAATTACCTTTAAACTAATTTTTAAAAATAAAAAGTATAAAAAATATCGGTTTTTACCTTTAATAATTATCTTATAATCTTCCAGCAAAATGTCATCGAATATTTCGTGTTAAAATCACGTATCGTTTGAAAACGTGTTTCTTTTTTTTTTTATTATTTATTTATAAGAAGGGAAATTAATATTTAAAACAGATTGAATAATTATAATAGACTTTTATGCAACGGTTGATTAATGAAGGTTGTTCTTATAAATTTAATCAAAAAGTGACGTAACATTTTTTTGAAATTTTTTTTTTTTTTTTTTATAATTTAGGCAAAACACCTGAGTGTAAAAAGACCTTAATTCTATATAGGAGGAGCCCCATTAACAGGTGTTTTCCGCATCAAATTCCCTTATTTCGGGAAATTATAACATATGCTCTTTTTTTTTTTTTTTTTTTGAAAGGACATATGCTGTTTTGTAAACCATGTGTAGTAAATAACATAATTTACTATCCGTGAAAATAAAAAACACGTGTCAAAATTTCAATAGGTGGTGTTCCTTTACTCTATATAAATCTGATGTTATCATGTTGCATTTACTTAACAATTTCTTTATTCATCATATAAACACAATTTATGTGTTATGATAAGTAATATATTTACCATATAAGTTATCAATTTATTAGAAAATAACTTACTCTTTATAACATTAAAACCTCTCTTTGACAATTAAATCTATCATTCATCAAGTAAATGCACCAATTACCAAATCGTAAATAATTTATTTGATAGTAAATGAAACATTTACACGAAAACATTTTATATTTACCCGTGTCATAGAATCGAGTGAAACTGAAGTAAAAAAATACGAAGAAATGCCCATGCACACCTTATCTTTTCACTTTCCTCCTTTTCCTTTTCATACACTAACTTCTTACAAACCTCCATTTCCCTTCACTGACAACAAACTCATAGACAAATCAGCGTCACGAAGGACGCGTGCCGTACTATACCGCTCAGAATAACAAACAAGAACCAACTAATGATAGCACGGCACAACACGAAGATCAACGATGGTTCACATGATGCAGGTGCCGTCAGCTACATGAGAGAGATCAGAGAGATGGAGAAAGAGAGTGCGAGGGGAGAGAGAGTGTGAAAATGCGATGGAAAGAAAGGACGAGTCGAGAAAGAGAATGAGAGAAGGAGGAGGGAGGTAGAGAGAGAGAGAGAGCGTGTCGAGAGGGTAAGAAATTTTGGGGATTTAGAGTTGCAGATGAAATAAAAAGGAAAAAGAGAATAAAGGAAATGTATTATCTAGATTTTGGGGTTAAGTGGGGTTAGTTTTAGTATTTTTAATACATGGTAAATATGAATTCACAAAATTATGCTATTTATTAACTCTCATTAAAATTATGATATCACTTTTTATTGATTTTCAAATTATGTTATTTCCCTCCTCTCAATTATTTCGCCATTTATTTTAATTATTTGTACCCACGCCTCTTGAATTTTGGAGTTGTCTCTAGTTTGCCCCATACATTTATACTACTCTAAATTTTAAAGTTCTCTCTCTTGTGCCTTTGTTTTGAATGTCCTCAAAACCAAACAGAAAAAAGCATGTACACTTAGATCATCTCTAATGTAAATGTTAATACTGATTGTATATTTAACATAAAAAATGTGATATAGTATGTTATTTTTATTTTTACTCCAATGTATAATGTTATTTAAAATGCTAAATTTATTTTTTTCTACAATTATTAAGCTTTGAAGTTGTAAAAGTAAACTTTTACTTTTAAAATAATGCTCTTATGTGGAGGGTCTAACTAGGGAAAATTGTAATTAAATTTTGAGCTATTTACTCCTAAATTATAGGATCACCACCATTTTGCCTCTTTAATTTTGTGGTTGCTTACAATTTACCCTATGAACTTTGAAATCGCTATCACTTTACCCTCAAAACTTTAAAAGTTCTCAAACTTTTAATTTGTTCTGATTTAAAAAGTGTAGTGTTAAATAATAAGATATCATAAAAATTTTGTGAAAATTTCGTAGAAATACTAGCAAGATATTGGTACTTTATTTTTTTTACTTGGTAAAATTCATGTCTTTTAAAAAAAAAATTTACTTTTAAATGTGGTAAAATTCATGTATTTATTTTATCATATTATATAAAATTTACCTGTATTAGGTTGACTCTAAAGTATTTTTCTTAATTATGAGTGTATGCTCAACATATTTAGTATGTAATTAATATTTTTGCTTGGTGGTGTTCAGTGCTATTGGTATCAACTAACATTCTAATTATAAGAGCAAGGAAACTCCTTTAATTTACTAAAATTTTAATTAAAATTTTAATTAGTAACTTTTAAGTGAGTCATTTTAATCGTATTATTTACGTCACTTAAATATAACATATTTTAATATTTATTGACTTTAAATATAAATAATTTTATTAAATTTAAAAAGAAATTTTTGCATTTAGTAGTGTTTAAAAGAATAAAATAATAACAAAATGAAATAACTAATAACTTCTTTTACTAATTTTTTTTTTAATTTGAGTAAAATACATTCTATAAAATAACTAATGAATTGGATAGCTAAAAAAAAAAAAATGTACTATCATGTCGGAGATGCTGTAATGCGGGCAAAATCCGTCAGGTGTCAGAAGTAGATTTGTGTAGAAAGTAGCTGGCCCACCCACCTTACGTATGAACCATTGCCCGAAAAGGGTCCCACAATAATTGGGTGACGTGGACAACCATTGATTCACATTTCACACTCACCTCCTACCGCATACGGAATAGTATACCGACCATTTTGGGCCTTCCCTCTGCCTCTCCTATCGCACTCTCCGTCGTCGGCCATGGATTCCTCCGCCGTCCGCGTCGACAATCCCTACGCTCTTCTTCTTCTCGCTCTCCGCCTTATTCCTCTCTCCCACTACCTCCTCGCCTTTCTTCTATCCTTCTCGATTTTTCTCTACAATTTTCTCGAACTCCATTTCATTGAAGATCTTCTCTCCGGATTCCGCGGATGTCCCGTCTCCTTGACCTACAATCCGTCTTCCCAAATCTACAATGGCGTCGTTTCCAAGTGCCGGATCCTCCATGGCAGGTCGAGATTTTCTTTTCTCTTCTTTTCTTTTTTGTTGTCGTTTTCGCGGTTTTTCTTCGATATTGATGACGGTAATTGAAATGACGCAGGTACTTGGCAACGCCATGGCTGTCAAGTCCTCATATTCAGACTGTTTTTCTCAATTTCTTTGGAAGACCGCCTGCTTTCAGCTACAAAAGGTTCCCCCCCCCCCTTCTTTTTTTTTCCCCCCCCTCTCCATTTCTATTGATGTTTTGTCTTCAAGGTAGAAATTTTGCGTTCTTGGGCGTAATTTTTCATTGTTTAATTTTTTCTATGTTTACATTTTCGTTGACATAATAGTTTTTCCATTAGAAGTCGGATCAAATACTGTTTCCATGGAAGAATTAATCTGGCAGCTATAGAGGACAATTAAACTTCCCTTGAACAAGTTTGTCTCAGATGTTGAAACAGAAACTGTTTTCTAGGATAATGTGCCAATGCATTTAGTTTGGAAAAGTGGTAGAACATAAAACTTCGGCCAACATATTTACATGAAATGTTAATTGTCATTCAATTTAGCTCCTAAAGCAAGTTATATAATATGAAGTATGAACAGAACATTTTCTGTCTAACCTACTACTTCTGATCCCGTTGCTATCTTAGTTTTCTCTTTCCTTACTAAAGTTCCTATTTGTTATATGGTTGCATTTCTTATTCTCGTTTCATTTAAAATGATACGATAATTTTCTTCTAGAGAACTCTTCCATGCTTCCGATGGTGGAACTATTGCTTTGGACTGGCTGACGAAATATGATGGTAACTATGAAGTGTCACTTTATTGAAGCGCTTTTTATATGATTAAGTTCTATGCAAATGCATGCTAAGTGAATTCTACTTGTCATTAAAATGTTTGCATGACTTTTTTCATCCCGGGTTTTCACTTTACAATTGTGAGCCTCATGGATTTTAAACTATTTCTTTTCTAGATTGACGTATTTGAATTTGTTACAGTTGCGGATGGCGGTTTTCACATGAACAATTCTATTTCTAGGGATGATACAACCCCAATTATGGTGGTAATTCCTGGTTTAACCAGTGACTCCCAATCTGCTGTAAGTTCTGTGCTATTTTTTTGCACTGATTCATGAAATTTCCTGTGGACATGCTCCCAATTTCGACCTTGTTGCCTCTATGAATAATTCTATTAAGGCTGAAAATATGGCAGTCGGTTTGAACAGCAGTAAGTTAATTGAATACCTTCAGTAAATTTTTTAAGACCTTTTCATTTCTTAGAGTTTTAAGGGAAAATGGAAAGTGCGCTGGTTGTGTACGTGCATGGTTGAAATTTGCTAACTTAACAGGAAGAAAATGGCCAAAAAAAAATCTATTAGTATCACTCTACTAGAACTGTAGGAATCACTTCCAGAAATCATGGTGGGTCGCATTAAAAGGCTGGTTATATCAGATAAATCAAAGTGAGAGTTTTAGCTCTTGAAAATTGTCTACATTCCCCCAATATATAACTTGCAGGCTTATAGATAGCCACATACACCCTGAAGAGATTCGAAGAGAACTTAGATGATATTTGGTTTGACGGAATTGAATAAGAATGGGAATATAACGGAATTAGAGTAGAAAGAGAATAAATGTTTATTCCAATTCTAACGTTTGGTTAAATGTTAGAATTAATACTAGAATCACAATTTATGTATGGTTAATTATTGGAATGAAATGGAACAAAACTTTTTTACAGAAATTCCCCCTGGTTTAATCATTAGTAGTGTCTTCACATTGGGATAGTGGGCTGGTAAATTATGTTTAATACTATGATATCGAATTAGGGTACGAGAGTTTTAGTTGATATCATATTTGGAAGGGAACTTGTCTACTTTAGGAACGTGTATTCACACATTTTGGTGGAATAGGTACTCTCAAGTCTTTTTGCTCCACCAAATGTAGGATAAGTTCTCTCTCTCCTTGCTACAGATATACTATGTTTTTAGTTAATAATTACATTTGATTAATGGATAAGGATATTTAATTAACTGAGTAATTGTGATTCCTATTCCTAAATTTAGTAACGACAGAAAGCAATTAGAAAGGTGATTAAAGTGTTTCCAATTCCACTTCGTAATAGGTAACTGGTAAGTAAACAATAGAAAGGGAATCAATCATCTTTTTCTTATTCTTTCCAAAAACCTTTCTATTTTCCCATTTAAACCCCTTTACAAGTCATTAAGATGCCCTTAAAGACTATTAGAACAATACAGAATGCAAAGATAAAAAAGTACCAGTAGCTCTTGGAAAATTAAACATAAGCGACTGTCTGAAAAAAAAAAAAAGAAAAGAAAAAACAACTTAAGAGCCTAGAAGTAATTGATTGATCGCATTCATTAAACCTTGACTGACAATTTGACTTCTAATTAAAGCCCGTGGACTCTCCTTTTGAGTAGCAATTCACGGCCATTGACCATTTTTTACGCAATCAACTACAGCCTTTTCTTTTAAAATATTATATAAATAAAATACAGCCTAGATTATACTAAAACTACAAATCATAGCTAGGTGGACAAGATCATAGATGGGCCAAATATAATCCAAAGCATAAGTGCCACGGTGATTTATTTTCTTTGTAGCCTCTACTGGTTTGTAGCCTTTACTGGTAGAACTATTTTTTTTTTTTTTTTAAATTATCATGTTCAAGTACGTTATGTATGAGAACTTGGAGATTTTATTTGGTCAATTTCATAACATACGTTGCAGTATTTAAAGCACCTGGCTTTTAGTACGGCAAAAAGTGGATGGAATGTAGTTGTCAGCAACCACAGAGGACTGGGTGGCGTTTCGATTACTGTGAGTAGCTTTCATAAATGAAAACACTATTTAAGTTAACCTTTTATTTTAAAGATTTTTTTTTTCTTTTTGGCGGATATATGGGGTCTTGCAGTGTCACCTTTCCTTCTTCTTTGATTATGAAGGGATTGGACATCGACGTTTGGTTCATGAATTCAGAATCACGATTTAAAATTATTTTTGATTTATGTGTGTTTTTTATGAGAAAAAATATTATAGTGAGTCACGAATCATGATTCAAATCATGACACGAATTCTCATACCAAACTAGTGTGGTTTGGATTATACAAGCCAATACATGGGATAATAGATTGTACAATCCACCTGAAATAGCTGCATTGACTTCGTGAAACGACAGATTGCTTAAATTATAATGCTTCTATTATGTCAATGAAAAAAAATGACTTCTTAATGTCTTTTCGTTAACAAATTTTTTTCAATGAAAAATTTTGCAGTCTGATTGCTTTTATAATGCTGGATGGACCGAAGACATTCGCGTAATTATCAATCATCTCCATCATGTATATCCCAACGCTCCTTTATTTGCAGTTGGAACTAGTATTGGAGCCAATGTTCTGGTACTTCATCCCATTTTCTCAGGTCTCAAGGAAAATGATTAACCCTTTCTTGTCACATAAATGATGATTAATAATGTTTCGGGACTTTTGAACTCGGTGCAAGCAAAGACATTTATGAGACAAGCACTAACTTTCTAAACGTACTATAGGCAAGAATCACATTCTCCTATATGGTTAACATCTTGTTATTAATATTTTGCTCTTTTTATATCATTGCTTTCAGGTAAAATATCTTGGGGAGGATGGTGATAACGTTCCTGTTGCTGGAGCTGTAGCTATCTGCTCCCCCTGGGACCTTTTGGTTAGTGTTCAGACTTGGTATAGGTGTACTTCACACGATAAAATTACTATAACAAGAAAATTATCGAGGCCTTGTTTGGTTCGTCTTTCGGATTGTAAGATTTGCTTTGAATTGTGATTCGAACTAGTGTTTGGACACGCAAATAAATTGTAATTTAAATTGGGAATAAAATCTTAACTTTGTTGGTTAAAGTGTAGAAAACTATCTTTAGGAATATCTGAATTGTTTTCACTGTAGAAAACAATTCGGAGGGAGGGTGTGAGTCAATTCTAAAATCAACGGTTTAAACCATTGTTAATGATTTGTATAGTCCTCATTTAGTTCTCGTGTGGGTCAATTCTAAAATCAACGGTTTGAACTATTGTTAATGATTTGTATAGTCCTCATTTAGTTCTCTACCAAACATCAATTTGAACCTTCAACTACAATCCGAATTGAATTTTTTGGTTCGGATTGTTGTAACAAACATCACGCTGAGCATTTTCTATTCCTCAGACCAATAACCTATTTTCCAATGACCAATAACCTATTTTCCAATGCGCCTGGTCCTGGTAGAGGAATTGGAATTTGCTCCTTTTACATTTGTGCACAATAAGCACACACAAGCCAATATTTTGCAATATTGAATTAGATTTTTGTAGACTAGTTTCAAATTTCAATATCGACATCAATGTTCATTTATGCACAAATATATTTTATAATTTGAGAATAATTCTACTTAAAAATGGTTGCATAAAAATTATTTAGAAAGTCTTGCTTTATCTCTCTCTCTCTCTTGAAAAAAAAAAAAAAAAAGATGGCGGATCACCTTACTTTCTATAACATAAACCAAATCTGAGCCTTATTGACCAGGCATACCTGGATAAAACTTTTGTTTTATACCTTGTAAGATCTGTGCACTTTCATAAAAATCCACATGCCTTCCATTCAATGACCCATTGTAACTGTTTTTGATCCACATCTTCCTTTCCATGTGTTTCCTTGTTAATGCTTGACATTAGATGCACAAAGTTCTCACTCTTGTGGTCTCTTTGACTATCCAGTTTAACTATTCCCTTCTGTGTGTACTTATTTCCAATAAACTGACATTTGACTTGCTCTTAAACCTACATGATCTATAACCATTAACCTCTAAGGTGTTGATTCACATTACTTGTTATGAGTTAATCCCCTATTTGTCTCTTGTACTCTCATGTTATCTGATATTAACATGCTTCATTAGACTTTAGACATCACTTAATGAATGCCAAATGAGATGGACTTGACGCTGATCCTCATATAAAGCAGCTTTTAAATTTACTACTTCATCGTATTACATCATTCATGGTGGTTCTTTTGATATCTGGGCGCCCAGAATCCTTATTCTCTTCCACAATCTAATGTGTATAATTTTTTCCAAGTATTCCTTACTTGGAGCATTTAGCTTTTCATTTGTAATTAACTATGAGAACTACTTATCAATGTGAAAATAGTTGCTCATTGGTTGTCTATCCTTTTCCAATTTCTCTTGTTTCCTGTGCAGATTGGTGATAGATTTATACGGCGCAGGTTCGTGCAGACGTTTTATGACAGAGCACTTACTATTGGCCTTCAAGGCTATGCTCAATTGTACGTAAATTTTTCCTTTTAGTTGAGTAAATGGAGAATGAAATTTTAAAACTTCATAGTTCCATGAACGTTCAGGGACTTCTCTACTCCATAGATATACATGCATTATATTCGCACCTGTATTCAAACTTGTATGTGGATCTCTGTTTAAAGACTGAAAATTATGCCTCAATTAATTAGTTGTGTCTGTCAATATTTTGTTTCACAACTTTGATAGTAATGCAAATGTTTATTATGCAGACATGAGCCTCGCTATTCTCGCCTTGCAAATTGGGAAGGAATTGTAAAGGTTGGCTTCAATTCCAATTTTGATTCCGTCATTTATCCGTGGAACTCCATATTCTTTTAATTTTACGACACGTTGCTAGCCACAAATTCGCCAATAATGACTGTTCTATAATCTGTGGCCTGACACACACACACACACAAAAAGGAAAAAGAAAGCAGAAAACGTTCCTTGAGTAACTAATCTAGTCCTTGTTACGATTCAGGGAAGTGAACTTTCTTTATTGCAAGTGCGTTTCTTGCTGCCAACGTGTTAATTTAGTGCATGACAAAAGATCTTGATTAATAGCGGCTTTATAAGATGGTCATGAAAATTTTTATTATTCATGAAAGTCAAGATTGAAACAGTTTGTCCTGCAACATCCAACCATTGTATTAGTCTATTAGATACTGGATCGTTTCCCGATTCCATGCCTCATTATGTGATGAGTAACTGGTCACATTTCATGATATTGCAAGTTGCTCTCCTCAAGGCTAGAGAAAAAACATCTATAACAAAAAATAATTGCACTTATGTCTCCATTGAATTTGGAAAATATGCATCTTCTATGCTACAAAGAAAAATGCTATGCAATTGTCATTCCGTATAAAGTTGACAGAGTAAAACAATATAATTATGAAGATAATGGAGGGCGCTAGATTTCTCTTTTATATATATATATATATATATTTTTTTTTTAGAGTATTGTGTGCGGCTTGATATATATGTCCTGCTGTCACTAATGTTTGTTTAACATTATCCTCTTTTGCTTCAAAAGTCACGTACCATTAGAGATTTTGATCACCATGCAACACGCCTTGTTGGGAAATATGAGGTATGCACGCTTGATATTTCACAAATTTGTCATGTTCTCATTTCTTTTTCCTATCAGTTACCAAGAGTATGTTGTTTTCTCAGACTGTGGATACATACTACAGGCGCTGCAGCAGTGCTGGATATGTAGGAAATGTGTCGGTCCCTCTTCTCTGTGTCAGTGCTTTGGATGATCCTGTCTGTACCAGAGAAGCCATTCCTTGGGATGAATGCAGGTGAAGCTACTCTTATTATGTTAATGAATTCCTTCTTCATTTGGTTTGAGGATTCGAGTCCTGACGTCATATATTTGTCTTTCATAGGTTAAATAAAAATGTTGTCTTGGCTACAGTAAAGCATGGAGGACATCTTGCATTCTTTGAAGGGATAGCTGGAGCTCGCTTGTGGTACTTGATATTTACTTATTTCCTATTAACAGTTTTAATTGTTTAAATGATTTTCAAAACAATTTGTAATGGACCTGAGGGCATTACCCAAAATGATTTTACGTAAAACTTATACCATATTTTGAAGTTCAGTATTCTATATTTTGTGTCGGTTATAACCCAATGTGCATTATTTGGAATTTTTTTTGCTTATGTGTTCGATTTAATTATTAATTGTTGTATATAGGTTTATCCATTGCTATCACTTTATATGCGTTATTTTATGTGGCCTTGGATGATCTAATGGTCAAAATTTTCTAATTTCGGCGGTTTATTTCTTTTCACTGGCAGGTGGGTAAGGGCCACAGGTGAATTTTTAAGGGTTCTACATTCTAGCCAATACATGCATGTGCAGAACAAGGTGCAATTTGTGTTCACTAAGTTTGCTAAGAAGCTAATATGATAATTATAATGGTTGCTATTCCGTGGTTGCTGATGCTGTCAATAATCAGAGACGTTATTATTGACTCATCCAGAGTTATATTTCTGCACATTAATATTGGTTTTTTCTTTGTATTTCAGATTGCGAACACTGGCCCCCAGTCTTCTTTGGATTCTACAATTGATCAGGGTCCATTTGTAAGTGTTGCGGAAGATGGAATGGTGGCCGCAATGGGCAATGAACGAAAAGACGATGATACGGTAGAAGAAGTATCTGAGCCTCAAAGGTCGGTTCATAGTGAAAAAACTCAAATGGTTTCAAACACAGGCCTCATAGATGAGCAAAGTACACAACAAAAGTCGGGTTTTGTGCCAACCATTGAACAAACATCCGTACAAGTTACTGCTGTCCAGGATGCAAAGCCTGTTGTTGCAACTTATTCTGTTAAAAGATGTTTGGATATTCTGCGTCGACAGAACAGGTACTCAATATGGTTACTTGCTTATATTGCCATAATTTCAAGCTGGCCATTTTTAGGTTCTGCCCTTCGAGTACTCTCTAGAAAGAGGCTCAGAAATGTCTTACCTGCTGTTTTACTTAGAAGATAGTCATAGTCCCATGCTCTAAGTCACTGTTGTACTCTCAATGTAGTATGGGACCCACAGATAGGACCCATATTCTATTAGTCATGGTGTTTAATACCGGTGGTACCTCCAAATATTTTTTTATCGAGTTTTTATGTTTTAAACTAAATTACGTGCAGTAGTGTAATTCAATCTAGAAAGCTGCCGAGAACTCGGGATGTCACCACTAATTTTCAGGCCGTTATAAATTACCAAATAAAATTCTATCGTGATATATGTAATTATTTGTGGATCTAAAAGTAAACATGTGAAAAGTGATTAGTTAGAAAATTATTAGTGGTACATAGCGTGCAACCATTTAAACGACGCAGAAAGCGGAAGCGAAAATCAATATCCACACGAAAAAAGCCAAAAACACGCATCCTCTTGTTTTGTTTTGTTGTCTTGTCGTGTCCTTTTGTAGAGGAAACTTGCCGAGGGTTAATCAGCAAGCCCGCCAATATCTCTTTTCAGATTTTGCTCTTTTTAACTTATGCATCTTCCTTTATACCTAACAAATTGTCTTGTACTTGAAAAGAAAAATGTGATTAGTTTACAATTTACAATTAGCCTTTTGTTTTGCATGACCAAACGATCTCAATCGTTTTCCAGAAATATCCGATTCTTACCGATTCATCTCTTTGTATGTATCTAGAGTTGAAAATGAAGTATGTGGTATTTTAGTTAAAGGACATAAAAATGAATCTTTCTTAAGAGGATTAATACAAGGTTTCTCTATCAAAATACTGGTGGAGGGTACTACCTCTTTTCTATCATATTTTAATGGTGTTTTATCGAATTAGTGGATTGGTACGTAGTATTTAGATAATACCAAATAAATACCTCTTACTTCAAAAAGAAAAGAGAGAGAGAGAGAGAATGAGGCAAATAGCATATTTGTATGGGCAATAAAAAAAAAAATTTATAGCAGAAATTTAGAGAGTAGAAATTAATAGCATATTTTATATCAAAACTTTCAAAATCCTAGAAATACAACAGAGGCAGATCTCTGCAAATGCAAGTCGGCAGGGCTTCGCGGCTGTTCCGTCGCGATTCTTTGTTGAGATAGAAATATGCTATATACTGCAATAGTATCTTGAGGCAATGAGGCTCATCTTTTGTATAACAATTTTTGTTCTTTTAATTCTAGTAATTATATAAATTGTCTATTGTAAATACATCATTTTAAAAACAGTTTACTTTTTCATAATTTTATGATTCCTTTTCTTCTTTTAAATTAATTGTTTGTATCTTTTTGTAGATGATATGATCATTATCATAAATTTACAATATTTATACTCCGTTTATTAAGGTAATAGTGTCCTTACACATATTTTTCAGACAATTTTATCGTAAAATGAAATTGTAGATAGTTCTTAAAATGAATCATAATATTTAGACATTTATGTCATTAACCTTTAATCTAAAAAAGTGTTAAGGGAAAATGTTTTATTTTTTTCTTGTCCGAACAAAAAGAATAGAATCTCTCATCAGTGTAAAGAAAAAGGCATTAGAGAATTTTTTTTGTCTCTTTTTTTAAAGAATTTACGCAGTAAATAAATTAATTTGAAGCTATTATTTAAAAGCACATCAAGAACATTTTAAGTCCTAAAAAGGGTACAAGCCATTAGAAACAGTGGCAGAGCTAGATTATTTTAAGGGAAGATGAAATTTTGAAGGTATATACAAAATTTATTTCAAAAAGGACCTTTTAGTTTTTTTTTGTTTTTCTTGTTTCTAAGATGTAACTAGTTTGGTACTAGTAAATACAATGAATATTTCCATACATTTTTTAGAGGAAACAAAAATAACTCTCAATACATGCAAGCCATGTTTGGTAGTTTGTATTGTATTGTATAAAGTGTATTATATTGTGTTATATTATCATAATACAATACGATGTTCGGTGTCATAATGTATTGTATAAAGAGTTAAAATGTAAAATTTTAATAATTTTGGTCTCAAAATGTAATTTTTGAAAAGTTTTGGGGTCAAAATATAATTTTGGAAAAGTTTTAGGGTCAACATATAATTTTTTTATAAAATATAAATTTGCATTGTGCCCCTCAAATTTTCAACAACTATGGGCTCTGACATTATCTTATGTCGGCACGACTCCAACCTCTAGTCGTGCCCTATCCCAACATGAATCATTGATATACTATAAAATAATACAATAAAGTACGTCAAAAATGAGTTGTATTCAATAATACGACATAGACTGTATTAATTTACCATTCGTATTGGTTCATACAATACGATGACCACACTAAATATTGTATTATTGTACTATTATATAATGCGGTGCTCTAATACGGTCAAACAAACATCCCCGCAATGAATAAGGCTTGTTTGGATAAGGGTGTTTGGTATGGGGATTCGTGTCATGGTTTGAATCATGGTGTAGCTTACTATAGTGTTTTCTCTCACAAAAAACACACGTAAACTGAAAATGATTCTGAATCATGATTCTAAATCCGTGAACTGAACGTATGTGGTTTGCAACCATTACTATTCATGATTAGAATAATACAACATTTTTTTTTAAAATTTGGGGGAAAAAAATTAGAGCACAAGGCGACAAGATCAAATATAATTAGTTCATTTTATTTGAGTAGGTTTGCTTGAGGATCTTTCAACATTGTGTCGCTCATACTAAAAACAAACTCAACCAATGAATGACCAAACTTTGCTTGTTTGTATATGTGTATGATATAGGTGGAAAATCATATAAAATATAGAAGTCACCCAACTAGTAGAAGATACTTTTTATTGATTTGTTTGTTTAATTAAAGGGAAAACATGAGGGTGATATATACAAAATGCAAGAATTGGTCAATTTCAGTATCTCACAGGAAGAAATCTGCCGAAGCATGTTTGATTAAAGGACAAAAGTTTTTGGTGAGAAAATGACATTTTCATTAATAGGAATCAAAGAAGGCAAAGACAAACTTGACGTCTAATTTATGCCACACTCAAATAGAAGAATAGAAGTTTCCTCGTCCAATTAAAGAAAGCCAAATAGTATCTTGCTTTCCTGTTTGAAAACACAATAACCCCCCTTGTGAGAAAAGAATAATTATATTCCACTACATAACAAAAGAAGGAAAAAATTAAGTAAAAGCCAAAATTTTTTCTCTTTGTTATCAACAAGACTTATTTGTCTTCATATGCGTGTATACGGGTATCACAACTTTTCACATTTTGGCAACCAAATATACAAATTAGAAAAGAAAAGAAAAGAAAAAAAAAATTGGTATTTGTTCCACAAACATGGTTTAATAATTTGTTTCTAAGATAACATTTGTTTATTTAATTTTACATGCAAAAGAAGACATATAATCATGAAAATTAAAGCTCAAGTAAAACAGGATATATTAGTTATTAATTTGAATTGTTTTCTTTCACTAAAAGAAATTGAAAGACAAGATTTTGTGCAGGGTGACGATCGTGGGGAATCTAGTGGTTGAATTCGGCTTGTCTGACTTCTTTGTCATCTTCTACTAAAGCCATTATATACTTCCCTATCATCTTTTTAATTTTCAAGAGAAAGAAGATTATGGCTCTTAATTCTTAATTTGTTCTACATATTATTATATATCCCCATGATGACGTGGAAATTACTAAAGTCAAATTCAAGTATTTAATTCGTAAATGTATATGATGTAATAATTATTAAGGTAGCTTAATTAGTGGTTGAGTTGCTTCTAATGTATTGAGTCTTGGATTATTGTTACAATGGATGCAACTGAAAAAATCAATATATATATATATATATGATGTAATAATTGGTCCGGGGCAATGTGAAGGTTTAAAGAATAATTTTAGCTTTTTCTGAATACAGTTCCATTTTTTAGTAGAGTTAATCACATTTTTAACCGTCGAACCAGTGGTGAAAACACATTTTGGTCAATGATTATTAAAATGTCTCAGAACAATTCTTGATAATCAAATTTTCACAAATCAGTTATTTCATCTATCAAACTGTTAAAATCTCAATAGATCAAAGATACATGAGGACGTTGTTCAATTTTCGTTCTGATTTTAACAATCGAAAAGACAAAAGGGAATTACAACTGTTAATTAAAAGGAAATGGCAAATGCGTTTTTAAGTTGAGATTTTAATAGTAGGATAGATAGAATAATTAATTTGTGATAATTTGACAGATTGGAAACTCATTGTGAGACATCTTAAAAAGTTAGAGACTAAAATGAGATTTAACCTATAATTGAGAAACTGAATTCACTAATCTGTGTAAATTAGGAGAAGATCAATTTCAATTAGCAAATCATTTCTTGACAAATAGATTTTTTTTATGTATATAGAGTATCCTTGAAGAAGACATACTGTAAATGGGGTGATTCGCTGTACAATTTTATTAAGTAGAATGAGTAGTCTTACCATCTTACTAAATGCTCGTGGTAAAACTTTCCATGGATCGACACAAACTACCGATACCTAATGCAGTCTAAGTTATACATGAGAACATTTTTCTTATAGGAATTAAAGAATATTTTTACATGAAAAACCGCTTCTAATTAAGTTATTCTTGTATATACTATAGCTAGTAATATTGGTGTATATAACAGATAAAGTCATTGCATACACACGTTATAACTTACGTACATACATACAGCATTCTTCTTTATGTGTATATATATACATATACAAATATATATATGTATATATATGTATGTATGTATATATATATATATATATGCGCACGCATAGAATAGCCTAGAGTTGCCATATGTCAACCTTAAGGTATATCACGATGATCAGATATTAATAAAGATTTATATATATATATATATATATTGATGCATAGAGTGTAGAACCTTAGCTATCTGGGTATCTTGCATACTAAACTATACCATTATATATATATATATATATGTATATTATGTCCTCCTTAAACAAGACAAGATAAAGAACTTTGGCATATTCCTCTCTCTCTCTCTCTCTCTCTCTCTCTATATATATATATATTGTTGTTGTTGTGTTAATTTTCATAGACTCGGTCAATTTGTCTGTTTCCAAGAACCACGTCATTATTAATTTCCTGTGGGCGAGTGGATTCTAACCGCCCATGGTCCATGCATATATATCATATGTCATATATACGTTCATTTTGCTATCATCATGCATTACTTCTTTTTTAGCGGTGACTTAGATTTATTGTAGATTATTAACATTAGATAGTACGTATAATTAGTGAACCTCATCAAAGAGTGAATTGTTCCAATCGTATCAATATATTAAAAATAATAATACAAATAAAATAAGGAAAGAAAGAAAGGGGGAAAAAAAAGAAGGGAGGAACGAAAGGAAAATGCAGTAAAAGTACATATATAATTCTCTGGATGAATATTAGAAGAATCCACTTATAGAGTGTTATAATTCAAATTTATCACTTTTGTAAAAATGTAATGTTTAATTTTTAAATCAAAGTAATATAGGTGAATAACTAGGCTTAAAAATATATACAACTCTAATTTACAAATAATTATATAATATAAGTTAATTTTAAAATATATATGAAACAAAATTACTAGCTACAAAAAGTAGTGTAATAAACAAAAATAACATTAAATACAGAAGAATATACGAGAATATAACAATACCATGATTCATGTTCCTAATGTTCATACTAAACATTTCAGAGTACTCGATGGCTACTCTAAAGGTTTTATTTATTTTTTATTTTTTTATTTTTTGAATTCCAAAAGAGAGTACATTAATATTATTTCTGCCAAAGTTAAAGCTCTTCTTGCAAAACACACTAGAATTGATTCTTTGTAGGGATCAAATATGTCCAATAAGAGATCAAATTCTGCAAAAAGAAAAAGGAGCATATATATATTAATATATATTAACCAAAAGTCTATATATTAACAAATTTCCAGGCGATGTTTTCAAATCAAATTGAACTTGGTATTAACCAATCCCACAATAAACGTACTCACACCTAGTTGGTTATTTTCACTGGAAACTCATGATTTTGGTATCCAATTAATTGGACAGTCATTGTTTCCGTTCTAAATCAGATAGTATACTTCTAATACAGAAACAATAAAACATTACTAATTAAGGAAAACTCCTGGTTTCATGAAAAGTTCTATGTTTTATGCCATCTTGGTCCAATGATCCTAATGTAATTTTTATATATATTCTATATATATATGTGTGTATATATATCAAGTAAAGAAGTGATATTTTTAGATGGAAAGATGGTGCATTGGTGCTTAATACAACAACTCACAAGTAGAAGTTATAAGTGAAACTCACCTCCCGGTGAGTATTGGTGTCCAGCATACATGAAGATGAAGTACAATTTTCCAGACCATTGTTTTTTCTTTATTATGATTACTTATTAATGTTTTTCTGTCAACTTAATTTCTTCATTATTTAGTAATATAGGATCTACACTGATCAACAACTAATTTATGGACAATTGTATTTATCCACATCGTTTTTAAATATTTTTGCTATGTAGGATAATATATATGCTAGGAGTTAATATAAATTGAATTCATTACTATTGTGGTGTTGAGAACCAGGCCTAGCTAGATGCTCTATGTATCCTTTCCCTGGATAAGAATGTAGAAAAATAAACATGAATTTTCCTTTGTCAACCAAAGTTAAGGACAATAATTTTTCCCATGAGGTTAAGTTTCTTATTTCTTTCAAAGTTGGATTAAGACATCATATTGTATCTTTATATATATATATATATATATATATATATATAGAAATTACCTCATCCAATCAGAGTCAAAAGCATAAAAAAGTTCCTTACTTTGACAAATATATATGCCGGCGGAGGTTTGGTATCAAAGATGCCACTCCTCTTCCAAGCACAATAAATAGGAATAATATGATCTATATTAGATCATATTTAGGGAGGCATGAGAAAAACTTTAGCAAAAAAAAAAAAAAAAAATTATTTGTTATTAGACCATCTAGAAAGCAATATGTAATTGACAATATTTTGATCAGGTTCGCTACGTTTGAGATTCCCCACTTTTCCTTTCTGCTTCTTGTCTAATGCATGTGGCATCTTCTCATATAGCCTTACCGACTTACCAAAAGAAACAAAAGAGAAAATTCCATCTTTCAAACATTTCAAAACTTGGGTTTGCTATTGGACAAAACAATAAAAATCATGGAAATATCGATATGTAGGTATGTATGTATGTATGTTTTCTTCAACTATGACTTCGATTCTGAGAGAATAAAATGATACCCATCTTAAAATATCTCCTTCTCATGCATTGTGGAATAAAAACAACAAGAATATAGTAATAAAATATACATAAATAAGCGTTGGTGTTCAGATTATATTTTTTGCCTTTTCTCTTCCTTTCTCTTATTAATATTTGACTCAAAGGGGTTTCATGTTATCCGGTTATTTTGATAAATAGATACCTCTCTCTCTGTCTCTGTCTCTCTCTCTCTCTCTCCAGATATGGAAGCCATGGATGATGATCAAGAAAAGTTTTTGAATCTTAGCCTCGCAATTGTGGCAGATTCAGGTGGTCATGATCAGAGGAAAAGGAAGAGAAGAAGAATGGATAGTCTAAGCCCTATCGCTATGAGCATAAATAACAATTCATCATATGATCATGAAGCTTGTGAAGGGACGATATTTAGGCTTCTCCAAATGAGAGAACAAATGCTCAAACTAGATCACCATAAGAAGAAAATGCCAACATTTGAACAAGGAAATAATGACGGACTCCATTTGATCCATCTCCTCCTCATAACCGCCACCGCCATAGGCGAAAACGACACCGTCTCAGCCTTGGAGAATCTCAACGAGCTCTACAAAGGCGTCTCCTTGAACGGCGACTCAGTTCAAAGAGTTGTGGCCTATTTTGCCGACGGTCTGGCGGCGAGGCTCCTCACTCGAAAATCACCCTTTTTCGACATGATCATGAAGGAACCGACAACGGAGGAAGAGTTCTCGGCCTTCATTGATCTCTACAGGGTTTCTCCCTACTACCAATTCGCTCATTTCACCGCGAACCAAGCGATAATCGAGGCGTTCGAGAAGGAAGAGGAGAGTAACAACCGAGCTTTGCACGTGGTCGATTTCGATATCTCCTACGGATTTCAATGGCCTTCTCTTATGCAGTCTCTCTCTGAAAAGGCTACCGGCGGTAACCGGATATCTCTCCGGATAACCGGGTTCGGAAGAAGCCCCGAGGAGCTGCAGGAAACGGAGAACAGGCTCGTTAGCTTCTCCAAAGGGTTTCGGAATCTCTCTTTCGATTTCCAAGGTTTGTTAAGATCATCATCGTCAGGTAGTACTGGTAGTACTAATTCTAATAAGCAAAGAATCAAGAAAAGGAATAACGAAACAGTTGCGGCGAATTTAGTGTTCCATTTGAACACTTTCGAAAACAATTCAAAGATATCCGAGACATTAAAACTGGTGAATTCACTCAACCCTTCAATAGTGATCTTGGTTGAACAAGAAGACAGCAGAAGCGCTCGGAGTTTCTTGTCGAGATTCATGGAGTCTCTTCACTATTTCGCGGCGATGTTCGACTCCTTAGACGACTGTCTTCCGCTCGAGAGCGCCGAGAGATTGAGCATTGAGAAGAACCACCTTGGCAAACAGATCAAAACCATGTTGAATTATGATCATGACAATGATCATGATGATGGATCAGAAAATTGTCCAAAACATGAGAGATTTGAGACATGGAAAGAGAGAATGGAGAAGCATGGATTTGGAGGGGTTAGAATAAGCTCAAAATCCATGATACAAGCAAAGCTTCTTTTGAAAATGAGGACACATTATTATTCTCCAGTACTCCAGTTTGATGGGGATAATAGTAATATAAATATTGGTGGGGGTGGATTTAAAGTTTTTGAAAGAGATGAGGGAAGGGCTATTTCTTTAGGGTGGCAAAATAGGTATCTTCTTACAGCTTCTGTATGGCAATGTTCATCATGATATATAGTATACATGTGTGCAAGTACTGTTTTTCTCTAACTTAATATTCATTTTTGTTATAACTTCATATTCAATCTAATAATAATGAGATATCATATGAATGACTCTAATTGTTTGAATTTCTAATCCTCAAAATATGTATGCTATCTCTTTCACTTGATCTATGATCATATACATATATAGATATATTTTTTGCTCAAACAAGAAGTGCAAAAAAATATATAGACACATGAGATATGTAGACTAGCCATTTGGCATGCATATATGTGATATGTACACGTACTACGAATTAATTTTTTTTGCTAAAAAATGTTAGCACAATGAATATTTCCCAATTTCCAAAAGGACGTTACATATGACGAAAATAATTAACTGGTTTTGTCTTAAGCTTCTGAAAATCATTACAACAAATAAGCACTTCAATGACATTTAAAAAGTGCTGTGGAAATTAAAGTGTGAAATTGTTTACTACAATTTTTACATGTCATGATTTGTGTCGTAAATTCATTTTTCAGGAGATCAGAATTTTGTCTTAATACATGTTCAATTTTTTTAATGTAATTCTCAACTTTACAATATCAATTTTTGAATTAAAAAATAACTTATAACGCATACAAAATAATAAATATTATTAAGATTCCAAAGATGATGTTGATTTTGTCTTTGATGTTTGTGCCTTATGTTTTAGTTTTTAAGGGCATTTTAGATATTTTAAAATCAAAACGGAGTGCAATCGAAAAAAAACGTGAACTGATGTATTAAATAAAATTTGATGTTAGATATTTGATGAGATAAAAAATCTGAGTTTATACTTTTCCAATATACATTTAAAAAAAAAAAAAAGATACATAAAGATAAATAAAAAAAAGATGGGATTAGATCGCAACTTCATAAGAAGTTCGGGGACGAATTTAGCAAAGTGCCCTTTAGTTTTAAATCACGTCCGACTCGAGAAGTCGCTTGAAAGTACCCTCACTTACTGAACAAATCATTCCATTCCCTTTCTCTCTTTTCTCGGCACTTTTGCAAACAGAGAGTTTGGATCTGAGGCGCAAGCAACCATGGAAGACCTGAGATCCGCAATGGAAGACCACATCGACCAAATGTCTGATCTTCTCCAGAAATTCTCCGCCGAACTCCGCTCCGGTGTCCGACCTGCTTACGACAATTTCATCGGTTTCTTCCACGCCATCGACTGGAAGGTAACGCTCAACTCTTCCTTTCTCTTCTCTGTTTGTTTGGCTGCCGAGAAAACTGAACCAAAATCTTACGCTTACTCTTTTCCAGGAACCTTGGCTTATTGGCTTGCTGGGATTCCATTTCCTGTTGCTGCTAATAACCGTTTCTTCGAGGAAGAATCTCAACTTCCAAATGGTTTTGTTCCTTTTGGCATGTAAGTTTTTCTCGATTATTCTTTTCTTCTTCTCATAGGGCTTTTATATATATATATATATATATGCGTTAATTAGATTTCCTTAACTTGTTCAAATTTAGGGGCAAAGTAAGAAATTAGGGTCTGCAGCTTACCATTCATTGTAGAACGTCTGAATTTAGTTAAATTTTATGATCTTAGAGATTACGTTCAATGCATAAATGAGGAAGAAAATCTTTCTTTTCTTTCTGTTGTTTTTAGACCAGGATATCAAATTTATTCTCTTTCTTAATGGTCTGCCAGTTTTCTATGGAAATTCTGTTCAAATTTTCATTATGTTGGTTTAAATTTAGCGATAACTCTTTGTGGAATGTAATCCGATTCTCGATTCCGCATGCCTTGCACACATTTCGTAGTGTTTTCTTATCAGATGATTTGTTCTTATTAATATTATTATTTTTCCTGGATTACCGGTTGCAAGGGATATTTATCATCTTAGTGTTGTATTAGATCACTATGTTGAATTACAGTTATTCAGGGTCTGTTTGGTTCACGCATTCAAGTCAGTGATTCTGATTTATTGGCATGAACTTTGTGAAAGAAGAATTTTTTGAATTCAAAATCTTTGTGTGATGAAAAACAATGTAGCAAAATCAGAATCAGAGGTTTGAATGCATCTCCCAAACACCCCCTCATTGTTTGTTAAGGTCAGCCAACTATGGAAATTATGTGATTCTGTCTAAAGTTGCTTTGAGATAGGAACGTTAATTACAGCCTTGTGGGTGATTTATTTGGATCTGCTCTGTAATGTATACCATTAGGAAGTTGAGCATTGCTCATCTTGGAGTTAAAATTACCTAATAAGTTTTTTGTGTTAGAAAATAAGGCAAATATGGATGACACTTTAGAAGCCTTTACTGCTAAGGGAACAACAAAGAAAACAAACTGTTGTTAAGGGTTCGTTTGTGAATTAATTTCTGAAAAGAGAAGTTTACGCAGGTTCAGATAGATCATTGGAAAAGTGGGTCCTTTTGAATTTGTAGTTGGTCACAAAAAAAAAGGGGGGTGGACGCAGCTAGATGTTTTCGGATACACATCAGTAGTTGGTGTATTGAAATTTTGGCAGGGGAAAAAAAAATAAGGAGAGCAACTGGATGGGCTAATTAATGTTGCAAGTTGATAGTGGATGGCTCTGACTAGACGTAGAGAGATAGATGTGAGGATGAGAGATTAGATAGGTAGATGGTGCAAGTTAGCGATGATTGGAGGGACACGGTGGGTTCTGTCTAAGTCAGGGCTATACAATGCGAATTTTGAATTATATTTGAATGCTCGAAGGGTATGTTGGTTCTATCCTTCATAGTCTGACATATAGGCTCAGGGATTTTTTTAATCCATCTACTAGACTAGTCAACTCTCATATTGCGACACATGATCTTTTTGGGCCTATAAGGGACCATGTTTGCCGGGCTAGTGTTGGGGGGTATCTTGTTCCTACTCCTATTGCAGCAACAAGCACTTGGATTAGGAATATGTATGCAACCAGACTTGTATGGATTGTTGAGGAAACATTAATATATCTGTTGATTTATTGTCTTACTGCGAATACAGATTTTCCTATTTCATATACTACTTATCGATGTCCTTCTGGATATTTCTTCTTATCTGGGCAGTAATGTTTTGCAGTGGCTGGTGTATATCTTGCTGAGAGGCTCAATAGTCTCCTGGGCAAGAACTGGAAGAGCTTCGCTAGCCAGAATTACTTTGATCCAAATGGACTTTTTCTCTCAGTTCTCTGGTCTGGGCCTCTCCTCTTCATAGCAATTATAATTTTGGTGAGCGTTAGCCATCTCTCGTTATCATCTGTCCTTTGCCTCATCTTTCCAACGTTTCTCCAACTAGGACCATTTTTCACATGCTCTTAGAAAAAGAAATTGAAGAAATACTTATTTTCTCTGCAGATCAACACGCTCTTTTCCTTGTGTCACCTGATTGTTAGATGGAAGAAAGCGGAGCTTAGACACCGAGCAAGGCTCGCTCGTAATAAGCAAGATTAGCGTTCTATATTGGCTTGCTAAATTGTTGACTTATCAGTTCAGGCGTTTTCTTCCTTCTGAGGCCTAATGTTATACTTCATAAATCTTGTTCGCGGTTATTTTTCAGATGCAGTACAGGGTAAACCTTTCCCTTGAAAAATTTTGAATTTTGTAGTTATCAACCCTTGTACGCCATGATGTTTTATGTAATTTTGTTTTCTTTATGGCATTTTACTTGTTGATCATAATCTTTGTAAAATATTGGCGTTTGTTATTTATTTTCTATTTTTTGATATTTTCCCAATTACGCACTTCTATGCTGTTGTAACAGGTAATATGCATGGAATTGCACATATAGGTCTGTGAAAGAATGCGATGAGTGGCTTGGCTTTGGTTATATTCACGTTGACCTCCATCTTTTATGTCTACAATTACAAATCCAATCCCCATCATTGCTTTTAAGGAGAGAAAAACTGGTGGAATTTTATTTACTGTTCTTGTCTTGAGTTTATATGAAAATTTGAATTGAAAAGTATTTATATAAGAGAAAAAATTGTAGTTAAAAAGTTGAATTTGAATTTTTGTGAGAAAATATTATAGCGTAAAGTTTGAGTTATGATTCGAATTGTAAAATAATTTGACAACGTGTTATGTAATTTTGTTTTCTTTATAGCATTTTATTTCGTGATATTATCAATCAGCATTGTAGTTCAAAGGGTCCATTGTATTGTACTTTCTATGGTTGCAAGGACAAGTTTCCGTTAAAGCAAAAGAAAATATAATTAAATAGAAGACTGTATCTTGTTTAAATTAGGCTGGGTACCACTATGAAGTCTGGTTATTCACCTTACTTTTATTAGGTGTAAATTAGACTTTAATTTATTCACCAAAAAAAAGTAAAAGTGTTATTCCTCTAATCAGTATTGTAAGTGGCATGTTTCCTTTTTTTTTGTTTTTGCAATTTAAGGACATAATGTTATTTAATCAAACTTTCGATCCTAAATAAAAGTAGGTATGTTTCTGTAGTTATCCTTAAGAAAAACGGTTATTATGTTAATTTTTGGAACTTTTCACTTTATTAGGAATATTAACATTGAGGTCTCTCTCTAATTATCATATGTTTGGATGAATTAAATATCATATATATATATGTGTGTGTGTGTGTGTATTTTCACAAAACAAAATGATTTTTTTTCTCTTTTCAAAATTATACTCTGTATTTTGAGGTTATCAAATGACCATATCTTTTATTTTGTTCTCGGCCAATGATAAATTTTTATCATAAAAAAACCTAAACATATTTAAAGAAAAAAATATTAAAAATAAAGATAAAATAAAAATTTTAAAATGTTACATTTATTTAGGTTAATTTTTTAGTCAAAATTTATCTTTGATCGAAAAAATAAAGTTTTTAGCATGAATTTGAAATCTAAAAAGGTATCAATTTGATATAATACATAGTATAAATTATGGCCATTGGTGCAATTCCACGGGGTAGTAAAGTGGAATCTCATTCAAAAAAGAGTGGTCTAACATATTACTGCTTTACACCGGCCATAGCCGGTTTTGTGTAAAAATTGAGTGGATGCTTAGTTTATAAATATAGAATTATGATTCAGAATCATTTTTTGTTTACGTGTATTTTTTGTAAGAAAAAATATTATAACGAGTCACGAACTATAATTCGAATTATGACACGAATCTTCATCCCAAACACCATCTGAATTAGCTGAACACATTTCTAGAAAACTATTTTTGTAATATATTATGTCAAGTCAGGTTATAATTGTCATTCTGCACAATATAATATAATATATTTGCAAGCTTTAGGAAGATTCAGGTAAATTTGTCAACTAAATTAGTACAAAAAGTTAGGCCTCAGTCATTTTACCAATTCGAATTTAGAATTCGAGTTTTGTTACAGTAAAAAGCTCTAAAAAACAGTCACATTTAATTTTTTTACTACAGTAAAAAACTCTCACATAAAGTCACATATTAATTTAAATTAAAAACTCGAATCAACGAACTAAACGGACCCTTAATATTGTCCTCACCTTGACACAAGCGCTTGTAATATGGAAACGTTTGAATGTAACGTGTTAATTGTCGAATGTAACCTAGCATTTAATGTGTTTAGCTACCGAAACATACAATATGATGCCCAAGGAATATGAATGTCGAATTTTATTTGCTTAGTGCGTAAGAAACGACATAAATTAATGGGTTATTGGAATGAGTTTGTCGTATTTTTTGTTTTGTTTTGTTTTTGCATTGTCTCATGATTTTAATTTTTTTTTATGATTTCTAGTGCTGGTAGCGAGAGTATTTCATAAAATTGGATTGGTTATCGGTCGAAAACCACGAGTTAGCGGTTAGTAACTTTATAATGATGTCGTCGACAACGTGAATTTACTGGTGAATCCGCTGGCTGCTAGTGTCAAGCTGGATTTACTTGTAAATCCTGAATTCACTAGTTGCGGTGTTGTTGGCTCTAAAATTTTATTAAATTAATTAATAATGATTTTGATGATAACAAATATAATGATTAATAATTTGCTAACTTTTTTTTTGAGTTTGTTTTAAACTTAAATTGTTCAAGATTACAGATTACTTAAGAAAAATTGAAAAAATATCAAAAAGTGCTTTCAAATTCACACCTTAGAAATGAAAAAAAAAATGAAATTTGAAGATGGATTTTAGAGTTTGAAAAAATAATGTACAAGACTTGCCTATATAGGTTAATTTCTACAAGTTCAATCTTGTATTTGATTTTTGAACACTTAACAAAAACTGCCTCATTACTTTGGCTCGAAGTTTCTCATTAAAAACTGTTTTGAAACCCTTTTGAGCGACAACTTCTTATCTTAATGATTTTTAAAAATTATGAAAAACCAAGAACTGTTTTATAAGAGTAAAAAGAGGTTTTTGTCAAAAAAAAAAAAAAAAAAAAAAAAAAAAAAAAAAAAAAAATTTTTTTAAAAAAAAAAAAAAAAAAAAAAAAAAAAAAAAAAACTAATTTGTAAGCTATTCTAAAGGTCAACTTTGTTGGTTGCGTTTTGATCATCCAATTAAACCGGACGTGTTAAATGAGTAGTTGAAACTAACCGCTACACACGAGCGTAAACGACTTTTTTTGAGCTTTTTGGTTCTTAACGGATATTTTCATGTCTAGAACTGTTGTTTAAAATTTTCTAAAAGATCTATAGTATCTAAATATGGCTGAACTCAAATTGCATTGATTTCTCTATTATTGAGCATTTATTACACTCTTGAGCCACACTTGAGACTATTTTTTGCTTCAATAAAAAACATCTCTTAGTGTCTTACTTGTATTCTAGTAAGTTAAGGAATAACCTTTTGAAAAATTAAACTTTCAATTTCATTATCCCACAGGAGTTGAGATAATATGTAGCAATTTTTGAGATAACAAATGCCAATGATATAGATTTACCAACAAATTCGGTAAATATAGTATTTAAAAGATAAATAAATCTAAATAAATATTGTATTTACAAGTAAATACGCAATTTAATAGTCACAAGATTAAAAATAATTAAGTATTTACGTGTAAATACATGGTTTGCAAGATACAAAATTGAAAATAATTAAATATTTGTGTAAATATCGAATTTACCATATAAATAAATAATAAAAAAATGACAAATAAATGATTTATCGGTAAATCTTAGATTTATCAAGTACCGATACTGATGACTGAATTTATAAGTAAATATGGTGTTTGCCTGATCCTCAGTGCCTAGGATCAATTTTTTGAGTAAATAAAATATTTACTGACGACAACTAGGTTTTTGGGTAAATTGTTGCCGACGACCGAATTAACTACTAGTCATCAGTCATCGGCATTTGGTCACGGTGGACCTGAGTAGAGAGAGAAAGGTGAGAAAGAGCAAGAATTAAGGGTATTTTTAATTTATTAATAGTATTAAAAATCGAGAAAAGTAGGTAAATGACTTTTTTTTAACTATCTTTTTAAATAAATGCCGAACTTTTTATTTTTTAAATAAATGACCAAATTTTTTTTTTTATATTCGCAAAATGACATTTTTTCAATAGTCAATCAATAATTGACCGACAGTTAATCAGTGATTGACCTACTAATTATTAGAATTTATCAATAATTTATCATTAATAAACATGTAATTTGTTGATTGAAATTGATTAGTTACTAATTGATTTTGACTAATTATTAACTAATATTCATTAATAATAAAAAATCAACGAGTTAATCAGTAATAAATTTAAGTCAATCAATGATTGAGCGCTAATCAATCAGTGATTGACCGCTAGTCCATCAGTAATGGACTACTAAGTCAATTAGTGATTGAGTTTTTAGTTAATGAAAGAAACAACCATCAGTAATGGACTACTAAGTCAATTAGTGATTGAGTTTTTAGTTAATGAAAGAAACAACCGTTTTGCTAATTTTACAAAACTTTGGCTTTTTAAAAAAAAAAATCTTAAAAAAGATCATTTATCTCTACATCCCATAAAAATCTAACATATTAAATTCTACTATTTATTTTTTAAAAAAACAAATGATTATTTACTGGCCAACATCTCAAATATGTTATTTCACTCATTCTCTTAATCTCAAAATATATCAAAATCTTAAGTAAAGCAAAAGGTTGCACGGAGGACAGAGAAGCAAGCAATATAATTTTTTTTTATATTATCATTTTTGAAAAAACTTTTATTCACGATTGCTTTTACTTAGAGCTGAAAATTTGGGCCGCCCGGCCCGGCTCGGCCCAGGCCCGGCGGCCCGAAAGGATAGTTCAGGCCGGCCGGGCCGGCCCCTAAATAATTTTATATAGGCCCAGCCCGGCCCTAAGGCCCGACGGACCGAGGGGCGGGCCGGGCCAGCCCGAATCGGCCTGTCCCGAGCATGATTTATAAAATATTAAAAAAAATATAACGAAATTTATAATAAATAGTGAATATTGTAAAATTTTAATGAAATAAGACTTTATTTATGTATTTATAACTGCATCATTAAAAACCTTACCAAGAAAAACCCATTGGGATAAAACCTTGGTAAGAAAAAAAGAGTGCAGTATTATTTTTACAGTTACAATTTATATTAAGAAACAAAAATATCTAACTGCCTGCTACACTACTCCCCGCATCAGAAGTGTCATCGTCAATGTATAAGTTTTAAAATTGATCCATTAAATCCTTGTCTTCGGCTGTGTGTTGCATTCGCAAAGAAGCATTTTCCCAATCTTTTAGACATATTAGCACCTCAACCATTTCTGAAGTCAACGAAGTCCTTCGTTCTTCAATTATCCTCCCA